TTTAGTGTCAAGTGCAGTGCTCAAGAATGGTTGTGAATTAATTCTTTCTTTTTTCCTGCCTCAGTCTTCTCCTCTTCCTCCTTTCCCATATTTCATTAATTATTACATATAATTGGAATATTCGTTACTATTAGCTCTTTTTTTTTCTTTCTCTTTCTCTCTCTCTCTCCTTTTTTTGCTTCTTTATTATTATTATTTCTTATGCGATGAAAGATTGAGCTGTGGCAGACGAGGGAAAAGCCTTCGCGTCTTTGGTCAGTCAAGAAATGAAAAAGTGACTCTTTTTGATTGACAACTTGTTTCAAAAAGAAAAGATTAACGTAGGTTACAGCTGAAGAAACATGCTTCCTATAGCTGCCCTCCTCTCTTAACTTCAGCTTGATCCTATCTCTTTTCTCCTAATTTGTCATTTTCTCTCTCTTTACCATTTTCCCTCCCTCCCTCTCTCTCTTTATGATATATCCTCTATTCCCTCTCTACCGACAGAGATAGAGAGAGAGAGAGAGTAGTGAAAGAGACTCTTCTTCTCCATCTCTCTATGATTCTCATTGCCTCCCTCTCACATCTCTCTCTCTCTCTCTCTCTCTCTCTCTCTCTCTCTCTCTTTAGCCTCCTCAATATGTATATTTTTGCTTTTTTTTGTCATTCAATGTCTTTTCATTCGTATTGGATGACAGAAGTAACTTCATTTCGACAGGAAAAAAAGATATTTGAAAGCAAAAAAGAAGAAGCTGCTTTTGGAAAAGGCAGTAAGAGGGAGGGAGGGAGAGATAGAGAGAGAGATAGAGAGTAGGAGAGAATGAGAAAAAGAAAAAAAATATTTTTGTCATCAATTTCCATTTTAAACTTAAACGGGGCCTTCTGCCGTTTTGGTGGCATTTTATTTGAAAATTTGTAATTTTTCTCATTCCTTCAATAACATTTTATTGTTTGTTATATGAGCCAACAACTATTCTAATTTGAACTTTTCATTTCTTTTCTTTTCTTCTCATCGTCTCATCTCTCTCTCTCTCTCTCTCTCTCTCTCTCTCTCTCTTCATATGTATCTACTGCTGTCATTATGATGAAGCTTTAACATCTTCAGACTTTGACTTGCCTTCAACATAATCAAATGACAAGCGGTCGTTTTGATGATAAAGCTCAACATACGCATGCATCTTCATTCATTTTTCTTTTTATCTTTTCCTGTTTTTGTTTTATTTCGATCTCTCTCTCTCTCTCTCTATACATCACTCTCTCTATCTCTCTCTCTCTCTTACTCCTCATGACGTTTCGAAATCAGATGATTTTACTTTGAAATACTAACAGAGAGGACATTCAAATATTCTTTTTTGAATAGCAAAAGCTGTACGTGACAGACAATGAGAAAGAAAGAAAGAAAAGATGAAGCTTATTATAATCTTTATCCTCATTTTCTTTAGTAAAGGATGTAATGCCAGTAAAATCTACTAGCATCTGCCCTACAGAAACATCTCCTCTCCTTTACCCCAAAGAAACTTTCCATGATTTATGTTATTCAGTCTATTCTCTCTCTCTCTCTGTCTCCCTCTTTGTTTAACTCTCTTTCTGATCATTCTCCCTCTCTCTCTCTCTCTCAATCATCCTCTTCTACTTCTCTTCTTACCTCCCATTCGCCTATCTCGTACTCTATCCATCCTCTGCTTCAGTTCTGTTCTTTCTCTCTATTCCCAGCTCTCTCCTTATAATCTTTATGCATTCTTTCCTCCATCCCTTCTATTATCCTTATACATATATCTCCTTCCATGCATTTCACTATGAAGTTTCATCTGAACGAACTAAATAAACGTTGAACCAACAAATTCTGAATTCTCTTTTCTTTGCCACAAAGACTTGATTTAATCAATTTCATTTCAACTTGTTATGTCTTTCTTCTGCCCCCTTTACTCCCTTCAGTTCAGTTCCTTCTTTACCAACTTAATTTTTTTTTCTTCTTCTTCTCCATTTTTTTCTCTCTCTTCTTAGCTCAGTAACTAGGTGACGTCAATGCCTTCTTCTCTACATCCCCCCCTCCCTTCCCTCTCCTCTCTTTATCTTCCATATTTGGTTGTAAAAAAAGTTAACAAAACTTACAATTAGTCAGTATTCTCTCAAGCCATTGTATTCACCATTGAGCTTCCAACTCGTCTGCAAAGATCAACTCGCGTCCGGATGTCGTCAGCTTTTTTTCATTCTCTTCTCATCAGCCTAGCTAAGTTGAGTTCAAAGTTGTAGAGAGAAACAAGCATATTAAACCTCATGTCTCACAAATCTCAAACAATCCTCCGCAAACTCAATTGTTGCGACAACATGAACTCATTTATAACATTGGATCGCATTTTTAACAATTGTCCCTGTAATTCTAAACGTATAAATAATAATAACAAGCCCTTTGTCTCTTTGAACTCACTCAACAACCATTTCTTTTCTCGATTCTTCCGCTTTATTCTCTTCTCTTTCTCCCCTTCTCTGCTAACCCCATTGGTGTGTCTGTCTAACTCAGAAAAAAAAAAGCATCAAATCAATAGAAATTGAAATGTACCAGCTTCTTCTTCTTAGTCTTCGTCTTCTTCTTCTTCCTTTTCTTTCTTCTTAAAGAGTAAGTTGAAAGACAAAATAAGAAAAGCTTAACTCACACCCACACAGCCATATTTCATTTTTGGAATCGGCACATTTGCCTGGTCATCACCATAAAGTAAACGATTCTATTCATTCTCTTCCCTTAGGAGGGCAAACTTTTTTTTTTCTCTTCGTTCTCTTCGCCTGCAATAAGCACATATTTTTAGTTCAATAATACTTTTTGTTTCATATAGTAGTAATAATGTTAAATAAACAAATATATAGAAAGTTAGAGAGAGAGACGTAAGGAGGGAGAGAGATGGAAAGAGCAAGGGAGCTGATTGGTGAGCAGAGCACGTGAGGAGGGAGAAATTTAAAAAAGGAGAGACTTAAGGAGGTAATGATAGGGAGAGTAAAATATGCACGAAGTGAGAAGCTCGAACAGAGATAGAGAGAGAGAGAGATAGAAAATCTGGAGAAGAAAAAAAAATGCAACCGTTCCTCGTTAGTGCACAGACTATAAATGACTTTCAAGTGAATTATTTTGGGCGCCAAAGTACTGAAATGTGAAAATAATTGAATTTGTGGTCTAACTATACATATCTAATTATAAGTTATAATTGTGAGCCTAATTAATAAAATGAGTAAGTGAGTGGATAAATTATTTTCGCTGTTTTTTTGTGTTTCATCATCATCTCTCTCCAAAGAGCAAGTGGGCATTCGTATGTCTGTATGTGTGTGTGTGTGTGTGTATGTGTGTATGTGTGTTGTCTGTTTGGAGATGAAACGAAAAAAAAAATTATATTTCAATCAGTTTACATATATTTCTTAAAATGTAACAGCTGTGTATATCGATTATCTAGATGGAATGGCTGTTAAAAGCTGAAAATACATAAGATCACACGTTTGCCTCAAATCGGCTTTTGCCTTGTATAAAACAAAAATAATAAAAAATGATATTAAAAAGAGAAAAAAAAAGATTCCTGTGTGTCTTGTCCATACTTTCCGCTGACAATTTCGTTTTCGATCGATCATCACTCTCCACAAGCTTTTTTCACTCAAAACTTCTTTTGCCTTCTGCTCATCTTGTCTCCTGCAACCTTCCTTTTTTTGTCTTCTCAGCCACAACGAACTTTCCTCATCCATCCGACTTTTTCATTGAAAGCTCTTTTGCTGGTTATAGAAAAGATTAGTTATATATAACTATATACATATAGTTAATTGTTATTTTTCTTCTTTTTTTTTCGCAATTTTTCTTTGTCCGGAAGTTATTTGGCGAGAATTTGCACACTCGTTTGCTCCCATTGTCTTTCATTCGTATATCATTTGTTTCCGAATGTCTTAGTGTTAGCTTAGACATTTATTATTCGCAGATGATGATACACCTCGTTGTTCTGGATTTTCTAATTACTCCTCCCTACCTTTCTCCTTTCCCCCCTAACTCTCACTCTCTCTCTCTCTCTATCTGTCTACCTTCCTGCTAATTCACAAATTGACCTCCAACTGAGCACATTCAACTCTATTTGCTTCTTTCGCGTTCTGATTTTTCTATTAAAAGTCAAATTATTTTCAACACACACACGTACACACAATCTCCAAAATAGCCTTTGAGGGGAGAGGTGTGTCCTTACTCAAATCCATCGCTCCATTCCCTTTCTCTCCATTTTCTACCTGCTATTTGACTCACATTCCGTCATGTTAAGCTCAAATCATCGTCGTTAGATTTTCACAGATGACTTGTTATGCGAGCTGACTACGCCCATTTCTAAGCTCTAACGTGAATGTCTACAACTTGAACTTCTCCCGACATAACTTCTCTCATTCTCTGAGCCTGCATTACCTGATCCACTCAGAGTTTCTCTTCTGACTCGTCTCCATTTCGCACGAGCCAGTTCTTAGTGATCGGCACGTAAGTGGTGACATCAGTTTCATGATGGAATGAGTCGGTGGAATGTTTTCTTTTATAATAGTCATCTAACACGTAACATCCCTCGATTTTTATTTTCCAGCCACCAACCTGTCCATGTCTCCTTGTGTATCGCAGCAGAGAACGATGCACTCGTTGACATGACTTGATGTTGCACGAAACTGCAGTGTAGCAAAGAGATAATTAGCAGAACTACAAATGTTCTCGTAGTTCTCTGAGCCTTCTCACATACTCTCATCAGCCAGCTCATTATAAACTATATTTTAATAAAATAAACTATGTCCTACAATTTGTGAGTGCCATATGCGTTTGGCTAACATTTACACTCTCTCACACACACATCTACACAGAAATCGTATTTTATTGGCTTTGCTGTCGTCGTTCTCCACATTCCTACAATGAAATATTAATTTTCCATTTTAAGGTTCATTGACGAAGCACATGTTTTTCTAAACTTGACTCAAAAAAATTATTGAATTCCTCACATTGTCCAGTTCCACTTCCATCACGTCTTCCCATGGGCAAGCTGGATCGTTTTGATATTATTTTGAATAACCCAGAAGAAGCCTACTTTGCTGGACAGGAAATTTCTGGAAAAGTTTGTTCTATAATTTGATTTCCAAAAAAGAGCACAACAAGAAGTGCAACAAACGTTTTCGTGGACACGTCAAGAGTCCGTGAAAGATGTATGACACAGACGTCTTGCATTCTATCTTCGCACATTTCAGGTGATTATTGAAGTGACCGAGCCAAAAAAGGTCAATGAAATCCTTCTGGAGTTGAAAGGCAGAGCCAAGACATACTGGACCAAACATTCAGGTAACTTAATTTATTCAAAATTTGATTTTCTCTTTTTGGTTTTAAGGCAAATCACGAAAACATTACACGCACTCAGAGCCCTACTTCCTTGAACAATTTAATACATCATACACACACAAGTTCACCATTTGTAAAGATGGAAAAGAAAAAGTTTACAAATCTCATTGTTTGTCTCTCATTCGTTTATCATCATCTAGGAACGTGTCTTGCCTGCTGGCCTGCACGAGGTCCCATTCTCCTACACACTACCTAAATCACTTCCTACTTCGTACGAAGGCGAATTCGGACATATCCGATATACTTGTAAAGTAAGCTTGCTTACATTCCTATTTCTCCTAACTATCTGTTTGTCAAGGCGACATGTGAAAGATCCTGGGATTTCGATATTGTTTCACGGAAAGCCTTTACTGTTATAGGAATAGAGGATATCAATTCAGATGCTAAGGTGCGGTTTTCTTTTCGACATTCCGGAATCAGAGTCGTACTTTTCAGCTCAATGAGCCTATTTCCATATCCGAATCCAATCACACCGTTGCGTTATGCTGTCGGAAAAATGGCTCCGTCACTGGTGAGATAACTATTCCAAAAGGCGGTTATACACCTGGGGAAACGATTCAAGCCAGCTATAGGTATGCTTCATGACTTGAATACAACTATTTCAAATCCCATTTGTTCAGGGTTATTAATTCAAGCTCCAGATTAAGAAATTACAATATCCGTCTGGTACAAACAACCACATACAAGTTTGTTTTGCTTTAATCTCACGTGAACCGCCAATTAGCATAGAACTCCACACACACACGACGTGCCAACGTTGTTTTCATTTTCAAAATTTGCCAAATCAAAACGGTTGTGTTCTAATGTGTGCTGACGGCCAATTTAGCTAATTTTGAATTTCCTAATGGCTTTTCATTTTCAGAGCCAAGACGTTTGCGGGACATGAACACGTAAAAACAATCAACCATATTGTTTTTAAGTCTGAAAAAAATGAGGTTTGCATTAAAAAGTTGCAAGACATGATAGCATAACCTATGGCTTGAAGGTTCAATCGAACACTACAACTTCTTGGCTGGAGGAGAGTATCACACTACCCTCTCTTGCACCTCGCTTAGGTAAATGTAAAATTATTTCCGTGCAATACACTGTAGAACTGGAGGTAACCAATTTTCATGAATTGGCGGAAAAGCATATACTTGTTCACAGATTGATCCTGCTTTCATTGTTGCTTGCCCAATCATTATTGGATCGATACCTCAGTTATCAGAACTTTTAACTCATTCCAAGGTACGCCTACGCAATTTGATAATTGAAATAACAAGCATGTTATTGTCCAGGCTAGAACGAATGGCCAACCTTTCGAATCGAAAAGTAATCTTAAATCAGAATCACCGCCTAAACATGAGTCTCCGACAGTTGACGTGCAGGTAACTTGCACATTACAAATCGTCAAGCAATTAATCATGCATAGGTTACAATAACCGATGAGTCGGGCAAAACAATATGTGAAGAGCTGAGTAGTGAAATGGATGCTTTACTATCAGCTCGAAAACGGGTACGAATGCCTTCGTCAATTCTGTCGGAACTATATCCAACAATGCCTAGTCCATATTACAGGTACTCGCGGTGTATTCGTAAAGCGAAGTACAAAACATTTTGTTGTTTAGGGAGTCTTTTCATGGAGCTGTGGACATTTCCGAGGAAAAAGAAAGCGCTCAATATGGAGAAAAAATGTTCGCGCCAAAATATCCATTTTACACGGACTAAAAGTGACCGAGAATTTATAAATACTTTAATAAAAGTTTTATCTGAATGTGTTATTTGAACATCGAAGAGAAATAACGTTTGGTGAAGAGCCAACGAAAGATGAGGTAGTAGGAGAATTACTTTACATTAACAACCCGACATAGGAAAGAGGCAGAGGGATGGAGGGATGAAGAGAGAGAGAGACAGAAGGAAAGCTAAACATTAATAATGCAAAAAAAGCAGGACAAATTTAGGAGATACGTTTGAATTTTCTCGAAGTAAATATAAATAGGCTAATTATTAAGAATAATATGTATATATTTTGATTTTGAGCCAAAAAATAGTTCAATTGAATAGCTAGCAGGAATAGGCAAGAGGGACCAGCACGCAGAGGCTTTCTTCCTCACCTCCCAAGTTGAAGAGATGCGCTTCGAAGATTACGTTCTCGCAACCAATATCCCTTCTTCCACAAATGTCAGCCATTCGTAGAAGAAGGTAACGAACAGTGCTCATGAGTCAAAATCTTCTTCATGTTTTCGTTTTAAAAGATTTGTGACGTGCTCAGGACGCAATTGCTGTATTGGGGCGGCTTCGGCACGAGGCACAATTGGCGCGATATTCTAAAAAATTCAAATTAAAACCTCTTTCAACGACATGTTTCAAGAGTTTCGTCACCTGTTGTGGATTATCGTTGGGTCTCCATTCCATATTTGGTTGAAGAAGACAGAACCTGAAGACAGAAAACTTTGAAGAGAAGCAGGGAAACTGCTTGTACCTATCGTTTGGTAGTTTCAACCCGAAGTTGTGGCGAATTTGAGGCAAAGGCTGAGAGTTCTTTTCGGCTGACATTTGCAGAATTTTAACCCTGTCTGGTGTACGATCCACTAAGGCTCCTTAAGAATCGGAAGTATTTGTTTCTCAAAGACATTCTCGAGTACCACTGAACTCCATAGCGATTTGTACATCAGTCTCGTCGATGGAGGATTTGCTACAATGCTGTGAAATCGCACGTGCGCCAGTAAGGAGCTGGGCGGTGGTTGCATAGGCTACCTGAAGAAAAAAAGGGAAAAGACTAGAAAAGTAAAGAAATGAATGACGTACGTCAAGAAGTTGACTGATGATCGTTGGTTCATACTCCGCAACTCCTGCTTCTTTGAGCAAAGCCTGCATACGAGCTACATCCTCACTACCTTGTCCGGGATTGGTTGTGGACGCCGCCATCTACAATCAATAACAATATATGATTGTCTTGGATTTCAATTAAGATACAATTAGGTTCCGACCCATTCATCTTTCTTTACGAATGACTGATTGAATACTTTTATTGAAGGCATACATATGGAAAAAACACGTTAGCCAGATATATGAGAATATCGAGTGAAGTTAAGAATCATGCGGTTAAAACGTTTTTCTAAAGGTTAGAACAACATGTAAGTGACATAAGAATAAGCTGGGAGGGGGGAGAATGTACTATTTACATCTTGTTTGCACCAAATTCTCTTTAAGAGTTCATGACAGTACGGATGAAATCGCTGATATTGATGTTTCCACGAGAATCGTTATGTCCGGCTAGAAGTTGATCGACTTCTTCGTCGGTCAGTCTTTCGCCTAGAGAAGAAAACAACAATGGAACTATGACGCATTCAGAACTCACCTAATGTGGTCAACAAATGTCTCAACTCGGCTACGTTAATAAGTCCATTTCCTTCTTTGTCAAAATGAGCCAAACCTTCTACAAACTCTTCTGGAGTGTGCTTTCCTCTAAACAGCATGGAAGTTGACAAGAGCAATCATAACAAGAATACAAACCTGACTTTGCTGACGGTTTGGAAGATTGGAACGAAATCTTCGAAAGTTAAACGAGCTTCTTTATCGAAATTAGCACAACATCTTGAGATTTCAGCTTCAGTGGGGTTTTGTCCGAGAGCGCGAAGAACATCTCCAACCTTACGATATCAATCAAAAATTATAATTACGGAATGAAATACTTGTTGCACGCTGATGCGTTCGTCGCCCTTTCCATCGAAGTAGGCGAAGACTTCACGACATTCAGCAAGCTGCTCTTCCATTTCTACAAGAAAATGAAAGAAATTAAAAAAAAGAAGAAAAAAGGAATAAAAAACAATATGAAAAAAGAAAACGCTAGTGCGAATTGAATGAATACGCGAAACTACACAACGAAAAATGAAAACGAAAGCCAACGACTCAGTATTGGCGACTTTATTTACATGCTTTAATGAAAATAAAAGAAAATGGATTTTGAATGTCAAACTGGCTATTGAGATATGAATGAGGTGAATAGATTACAAATAATCAATAAAGACAAGGAGACCTATTGAGGAGAGACGACACCTGTGAAAATGCGCGGGCGCGCAATGTTGACCGCGGTACTGGCTCGGGCGGGGAGAGGATGATGACTAAACCCTTGGTGTTCACGACCCTGTATGTCTGCTGTCTCTCACTCCGACAACGCTGTACATTGATCTTCTCGCTAGCGACCATTTGTTTGAAAGGCGAATAAGTCAAAAAGGGACATATATTATGAAGTTTCAGACGTAGATGGAGATATGCAATGACCTTTGAGATCGGATAATCAGAAGAGTTGAGGGAAGAGAGAGAGAGAGAGAGAGAAAGAGATTGAGAGTGACAGTAGATCGTCACTGAACGGTTAGACTGTGTTCAAAAGTTATTCACGGATTTCACCCAATACGAATGAAACTTCAAATTCCTCTTGGCAGACGGAAAACTCGGCCATCCTCGATGATAAGAGAGCTATAAATACTCAGAAGTTGACTAAAAAACATAGCAAATAGTCTCTCACATAGTTTGATACGAGAATGAGTAAACGAGAATTGATTAAAGAACTCATGCAAAGGCTTCACATGCAGCTTCGTTTCTATCCATTGCTGTTCCGTATTTGCTGAAAAGGAAAGAAGAACTTGCGAATGCTTCATCCACACTACGATTGGCAATTGTCTCATTCTGGAGATCTGTGAAGAACACGTTACATTCACCATGTTTCATTGCCGCATGTAACTGTAACTCTCCCTCGTTATTGGCCCTCAAGGACTGAATAAGATAAAGTATCCATGAAACGTATACTAAGTAAACTTACAACATATTTGGTATGCGTATTCTTCAAAGATTTCAATACTCGAAGAAGAACTCTGGTTGGAGGTAAGTACAAACAGCACTGAACATGTTAGATATCCTCTGAGTTGTGAAAGATCAGAACTTACTTGAATCTCATCCATCGAAGGACAGTCATACAACGGCCATTTTCTTGATTGTATGATCGTCACAGGAATATCATGGACGATGTTCATTTGACGTAATTCAACTCGGAGATGGGGTGACTACACATGGGTTATAACTAATGAACATCAAATGAATCTCACGTTATTCTTGTTAGCCAACTTAATCTTAGGACTGTTATGCTGATTGTACTGCAGACAGCGTGCAAGATCGTCCACGTTGATTTCGAGAATGATTTCGTTCTTATCCTCGGCAAGACCAGCGAATGACTAAAACATTGTACATGATGAGAATGACAACTTATGAGATCAACGAACATAGCTCAGGAAAGTCGGGGAATAAGCAATCAGTACTCCACACCAGTAATCCCCATCTTTAGAGTTGACTCCAGTGGTCGTATTGCAAATGAAGCACATTCCTGAGAAAAAGACTAATATATCAAAAAGTGGACTTTTACCGGCTGGGGTGATCTTGATGGCGCATTTCTTCTTACTTAAGTGAGAAACCGCACCGATACATTCTATAAGTTGGGAGTTACGGGGAGGGGCAAAAAGAACTAACTGTTGAAGATTTCAACCGATCCTTGATCGCTGAACAGAGCTGAGAACCTCATAAACTGAATATTGAAAGGTATACAAGCGAAATGATGGAGAAAATATATTCAACGAGGGAAACGATCAAAACGAAGGAAGCAATATCAAAGTTAATTTATGAAAGTGATTTATTCAATACGGGCTATTCCACGATCCTGGAAAAGCATGAACTGCACATGAGAATTCAAATTGAAAACTACCTTGATCGCGAACTTAGTGACGTTTTTATCCTTCCAAGGACATTTTTCTAACCGAATATAGCGCTCGTTAGCAACTCGGTAGAGCCATGCTCTTGTGGTAGGAACAGATTTCCAGGACTAAAATACGGGGGACTTCACTCACTCAGACCTTTCTAACATACTTGTCCCATACAAGCAACTTCTTTCATCTCATCTTCATTTCCTACCGTCGTTATATGATTAGTAATTATGACCTGAACATGCTGTACCGTGTAAGTGTACCGACATAGAAACATGCCGAAATATTGAATTGTGAAGCAATTTTACACAAATTTGTTTGAATACTATCCAAGTCATGGAAAGTGTCAGTTCTCTGCTCTCCTCGGAAGAAATAGGCGATGGAGTCTATTATGAGAATAGAAGCCTATAGAAGTCTCATTTCAATACGCTGATGACATAACTAACTTTCTCTAAACACTTCTTCTCCTCAATTAATTGCGTCAAAAATCTAACCATATCTTTCAAAGATTGCGGTGACGATAAGATCAAGTTTTGAAAAAATTTCGTTTGCGTTGTTGATTGGGAATGAAGTTGGAAAATCTGAAATGATTCATAAAGTAAATGAATCATTAAGTTGCTGCTTAAACAGAACGCCATTTGAAACCGACGTGAGTTTCACGGAAAAACTATTTGAATCTTTCACGCGGTTGTATGCGGCTGTGCGCTCAATATGTCCTTGCCATCAATGGCTGTGACGTTAACCTATGTATTTTACCTCTTCCATTCTTCGAAGAGACGAGCTTTTTTCAGTGTCCATATACACAACAGTTGATCCTCTTGCTAGGTTGGCACCGGTTACAGTCATGCTAGACTCTCATCATTAGTTTGAATAGGAAAAGTCAGAAAACCAAAACTGTGACTTCCCGCATCCTGCTTCACCAACAAGTTCTAATAATGTTCCTGGCGGAATCCCCTCTCCTAAAGAAGTTTTTCAACTCCCAACTACTTTTCAATTACCTAGAAAGTTATCGATGGCCGGGTCACCAGAGGTGACGTTCTCATGTTCTATTTCTTTTTCTAATAATTCCGTTGCTGTGAGGAACCCCGCGTCCCGAAACAAACTTCTCTGATTTGGAAAAAGGGACATCTATTTAGAATAATAGTAACGAGACAAAACGATAAATCCCGATAAAAGGCTTGTAGACCAATGACAAACTCTATTGGGGAGATGAGAACACGTTTATAGAAGTTATAAGTATCACAGATCACATCATCTACAACATACCAATCTATTACTTGAATAATACAAATTTTGCGTTATGGACAAATACCCCTTATAAAAACCGCTGATTATTATACACCCATACTTGGAAACTACAAATGCGTCATCAACAACACCAACCGTCGTCTTCAAGAGCAGCTCTTTCAGTGGCTTTTAACACTAACTTGTCATTCTGCTGAAATGAAGGAGCATTCGCTGATTGTAAAGTGTTAGGACTCACTGTTGCTTCTCGTTCATCCTGGCTTTGTACATGCATAGGTTTGCTCTGTTGAAGCTTGTGCAATAAGGTTAAAAATATGGATTCTACATGATCTGTTTCGGAATCAGCTTTAGCTGACGTTTCGAACAAGGCCATGTTGTTACGATCAGCGAAAATCTGGAAGATGGTCCGTTGATGACAAAATGAATTGAATGAGAACCTGAGCAACATCTGTGGAAACCTTTTCTGTCGTCGCTAAGTCGCACTTATTTCCTATTAGTATACGAGGGACATCAGCGTTTGCTGTTAAGCCATGCTTCTCGCATTCCTGAATCCATCCTTTCAAGTTATCGAATGAATTTTTACTGGAATAGAAGAATGGGAGTTGAAAGCGTACTAGCACTTACGTATTTACATCGTAGACGAACACGACAGCATTCACATTTCGATAGTAATGAGCAACAATTGATTGTCTGTATCTCTCCTGACCAGCAGTATCCCATAGTTGAACCTTAGCAAAGCATGAGAACGAACGAAATCAAATGAACAATTACCTTCAATAACTCTTTTTCGATCACACAACTCCGTTCTCGGAAGTCTACTCCAATGGTCGCTTCGGTATGTTCGGGGAATCTTCCACAACAGAAACGGAAAGAGAGACATGTTTTGCCAACACCAGCATCTCCAACGATGATAACCTTAAGGTATATGGTATACGGAAAACGAACTGGGAGAGAAACCTTGAAAGTCCTCTTCGAGTTATAAGTCTTAGATCCTTGAGGGGCTAGAGGTAGTTTTTTAGTGACTACGGGTTGAGTAGCTGTAGCTCCCTGAACAGGTGGTGAGCTAACGGTTGGTGGTGGAGAAGTTACAGCTGGAGCTGTTTGGGAAGAACTTGGATGATGGTATGGTACACGGACCTGGAAGAAGCTAGGGTTTCATGTGTTTCATACAAGACCGTACGTTTTCATGTGCTTGCACAGGTCTTTCTTCTTCCGCGGGTCTATTACTGAAGTGAGGCAAAGGTCTAGGAGGATCAACCACAGACACAAATGTAGGAAACGTCGGAGGTGGGATATTAGGAACGCCTCCTTGACTCATCTGAATTAGAAAACGGGAAGAATTAGGTTTGTTTAAGGAACAGAGAAGTATTAATGGTGAGATAACCAAGAATGCTAATGTATCACGAAAGTCATTATGTACATTTATCGAAAAAATATGGAATTTATATTACAATAATGGGTTTTTACGAGATCCTTTTGGAGGGAACAGTTTTCCTTTGCGCTCTAAAGAGTAATACGCCTGGAAGATAATGGATTAGATCACATGTTCTTAGAATATCAAAAGAGTATTACTTGTCTCAAATGATGCGGTTTCAATGGTTCAGATGCGATGCCCTGGCCTTCCTGAATGTCTAATGCTTCTTCCACAAGCTCTCCGGCGAAAACCTGAATGACAACTTTCCTTGAAAGATTAACAAACTGAAATACCTTGGCTAGTCCAGCTACAGCAATAACAACGTTTTGATTAGGAATGATTCCAGTGTATTGTTGGATTAAACGACGAATAGCCGATTTAGGAAAGGACGATCTAACAAGGATTTGTTATGGAAGATGATTTTTCAACTAACCGTCTATACGTTTCGTAACGATTCAACTGTTCTTGATTGAAATTAGAAACGAGTACTTGCATTTTAAGGCGAAGAAGCTCATCTTCCTCGTTCAAGGGTTTCACCACTTGTTCCTCTTCCTCTTTTTCAGGTACCTCATCGGGCTTTTCTGTTTTGATATCCTTCTCTTCTTTGATGGTGATAACTGCTTCAGGAGAAACTACTACTGGAGGCTTCGCCTCACTTTTCTTTCCAGGGCTTATTATCTTAATCACAAGTTCAATATAGATTGAAAACCGAATGAAACCTTTGGCTCTATTTGCACTTTCTTATCCTTCTCCTTTTCAACATCCCGTTTCTTCGGAACAACAGTGCTTGCTGGAGGGGCCATTGGAAAACCGAGAGATACCAACGGATCCTCTTCGATTACCTGAAGTTAATTTTGAATTCAATGATATGGAAAAAATTCGTTACCGGATCAACGACAACTTTCACTTTTTTCACTTCTCTGGGTTCTAATGGACTAGGTGATGCCTGAAGTACTAGTCCGTTTTAGGATATAATGAGAGAAAGTGTCAACCTTTCTCTTCGCGTGTCCAGAGCTTGAATCGGGCATATCCAACCCATTGAAAATATCAGCGAACATGCCATCATTAGAATCATCCTCGGACAAAGAGAATTTTACTTGTCGTCTCACTTCTGGGCTCTGTTTCTCAGCTTTTGGACTACTACTACTGCTGAAACTGAGATGAGAAAACCATCGTGCAAACGCCACAACCTGTCGTCATTTTTCAGCTCAGAGGAGTACGAATCCTTACTGTCTTCCACCTTGTCCGAATCATCGTCACTACTATCACTCAGACCACCTCCAAACAGCTCTTCATCCATTGCTGAATCAGGAGTTCATAAGAAAAAAGAATAAGAAAAGATAAAATATCAAACGGTCAAAACCATTCTCCTTCCCATCGAGCAAGACAGAAATAAAGTTTATGCTTTTTAAGAAATTAACAAACAAAGTATGGAGTTTTTATGTACACAATGCGAACAATTAAACTAATCACTGTCCGAATCACTACCATATCCAGCCAATCCCATTAAACCTGATGCTCCTCCTGAGGAAGTTGACGGTTGTACCGGCGTAGGAACAACCCGTGTAGTACCACTAGTTGAAGGTCCTGCATCACTATCATCGAGAGGTTCTTGTTTTATCCCAGGCTAAAATTCAATTGATGAAAATACTGGCTGGTTGCTTACCTTCGATCTCTTCACAACTACAAGCTTGGATAATAAACTTTTTTGATCTGTTTTTCGTTTACTTATTGGCTCAACAGGAGCCTTGAACTCCGGTTTCTCATCCACTTCCTCAGATTTCTGGAAAAATGATGATAATAAAACGCTTAGCATTAATTAGCATATGGTGTGGCGTTCACAGAACTCAATCACGTATAATCAAAGAAACAGACACAACAAACGGTTGAACTTCTAATTCAGAAAAAAAGCATAAACTTACTACATTCATTGAATGGCTCGTTCCGGGTATATATGCCTCCTCTTCTTCCTCAACTACTTCATCTATCAATTCTCGTTTCTTGCCTTTATTACTGAATAGAGCTCTGAAATAAACAGTTAGCGCATTTCGAGTTACTTCACATACTGAACATATGCTTCATCAGCATCTTCCTGTAGACGAATTTTCTCAGCTATAGATAGGTTAGGATTCGTTTGATCAATATACAAATCAGTATTGACGCCTTCTTTCTGTCGATTTATTTCTTGTAGGTCTTCCAAATTACCTGGAACAGAAGTGAATGAGTTGACGTGAATATGAAAACAAAGTACCCATTGCTTCCATTTCAGCTCTACTCATCATAGTTCTTTTTTCGAGCATTTTCATAGGATCTTTCTTGTCTTCCTCTTCTTGTTCTTCTTTAGCTCGCTCAGCCTCTTTATACAGTTTGAAAGCTTCGAATAAACGCGTAGCGCCATGTTCCTATAAGTGCATATGAGGAAAGGATCATTGAACATCGTTACCATTTGATAATCACAGTTCTCCAGATCTGTTTTGAATGTTATTTCTGCTAAGCAATTGGGACATCTTAAGAATACAAAATAGGTAACAGTAGCAGAGAACAGAACTCACTTGAAATAGAATCGAAAGAGCTTCAGCGACAAATACGTTTCTCCCTCAGCCGTTTCACGCTTCATATTAAACTTTTTCCCCTACAATTATGAGAATTGAGTTTTTATTGATTATAATGAGAATTACCTTATAAATATACTCATGACATGTGTTACATTGCATATTGAACGGTGTCATAACACGTTGAACGAATTGTCTTTAAAGTAATTATTAAAAAACTTCAATTCTATTCTAAGATACCTGTTCCTTCCTCTGCCTCCGGCACTTTTAACACGTTTAAGCTTAGATGGATCATAGTCTGGTGGATAGTATTTCTGAAACAATGAAAGTATGATAAGATCACGTTATCCATCAACAATGCAACATACCTGAAATACTTTACGCTCAGTTCCAGTCATGTTGTCTAATTAACCTGAAATTCAAAAATTTGAAATCAGTTAGGTTCAAAATGTTTTTTCAATAAAAGAAAAGTAAGAAAAGAGTAAAAGAAATTTCCATAAACGAGCTGAAAGTCGGAAATGCTGAACATACGAAACATAATCGAGTACAAACAAACTGCTCCAGTCGCAATTCTCATGTAGTATCCTGACCCACTGCTAATATATCTAGCTAGTGCTTCTTGTTTTATGATAAGCTTGGATTACCGTATTTGGCTCTTTCTTCCAGAATATATATAACCTCTTTGCTTTCTAAATCAGTTTACATTCCTATTTTTAGATATTGTACCCTTGAAGTTATGCTGAGAACGAAGATTAGAGCCCATTTAACAACAGCCGCAGTTATTACAGGAACTATTGGATTAGCATACGGTGTTTTCCAGATAGCCATGACTCTCAAGGTACGCATTGCTTGACGTTATGTTCTCAGTTTGTCCCCTCAGCAATGGACACGAGCTTCTCCGCGTTTAATGCATCAGGAAATGGAAGATTACATGAGGTTCAAAGCACTCAAGGCGGAGTCTCAACAACAACAACCGAAAACTGTCTAAAGTTCCATCAGCAGCTCTCAGCTCGAAAGACCATGTGACCATCTAATAGTAATACCTTTTCAATATTTAGATAATATAGTTCATTGTTTACATTTCGATATAGTGAAGATGCTATTCAGCACAAACTTACGGGTTATTCAGACTGTCTTTATCAAAATGAACATCATGTGTATCGATACCATGTGGGTTGGAAAGAATTTTGATTTGATTGTTAAGAATAAAGTTTATTAAAAACAATTTTTTTATTTATCAGACGAACGGTTTCGATAAATATGATGAACAACCGATCACACACAAAAAAAAAATAAAATTGAGTTGCGGTTTTCATTTGTCATGTCACTATATTCAGAGGCGGTTGTTTCATTTTGCCTATTTTCGAAAACCGTCCACTTCCTCATTTTCAGAATTTCGATTTCCTTCCCTCTCAAGATCTTCTCTAATCTCATTCCAAACAGACCATCCAATACTTCGAATAGAATAGCTACGGTAAGAAGACGCTTTTTTATGGTCAGAGAAATGATGATGCATGTATTTCCTCTCTTTTTCCTCATCTTTGCGTGTCTAAGGGCTTATTTTTTTCTCACCTGTGCGTGCCGACCTTTTGAATGCCTCTACTCTCTTTGCCTATAGGGACAGCTTGTCCATTTAACACAAGCTCATCACCGTCCATATTAACAGCTTACTTGAGCTTGAAAGAAGCTCATGCTTTTCATTACCATTCCTGTTGATGTTTCAATGTGAATCATCATTGTCAATAACATTATTGTGGGTCATCCTCCAGGCCCAGGCGGGAAACAGTGAGATTTAAATCTGCCCGCCAAACAGTCATGCCCAGCAGTGGCCTGTACAGCTGTTTCTAAAAATTTTGTTGCTTGCATGTATCCATCACTACCATCGAATATTTAATTTAAATTTTCTTGCCATTTGAGGTCTTGAGAAAGAATTTTTTGCCATCTAAGCGGAAACAAATTTGAATAAATCCATACTTGTGCAAATAGCATCGAAACATCTGGTAGCCAGTAACTTGTGTGAACTGACGATGACTCCAGAAAGTTACAGAACGATATTCTGTTTCTTTTCCATTTTCTCGCTATGTCTCATCACATAGTTAGGAAGGAACTGCGAAACTGTTTTTCGATATCTCTAGTGATCCATCCTATACCCAAGATATCTGCGAAATGTTTCCGATCGTTAATTAACCCTTTGAAAAGTGTTACATTCTGATGTTATCTAGTGTCCTTATGGGCGCTAGAAGAGTGATAGACAACCCAGACTGAGAATTGTTTAGTTTACTTTTGAATTGATTATTTTTTGAGGAACTGTTCATTGCATTAACACTATGTGATTGAGATCTGTTTTTCTCAAATGTGACGGCCCGATAAAGGCTGTCACACGAAGTTCAAGCTAGATACATGGCTTGATGACACTCAATCTATACCATGTTTATTAGCTTCTCTCGCCCTTGATTTTGATCTTATAAGCTTGATTACACTAACTAAGTTACCAATTTCTATAACCACCAAAAACACCTTGGAAGACCATCATGTTCGGAAAACTCTTTCAGATCTGTCTCGAAAGAATTTCTTTCTTTTACGTTGTTCATAAATGTTCAAATGCTACTCTCAGATACATCAGTATGACTTGTAGTGTTTGATGAAACAACCATCGTTACAGATAGGTGTAGAGAGAGACAACTTCTTATTTGGGCAACCTTCCTATTGACTTTTCTGATCCGATCACATGCGTCTGTATCTGAAAGATCAATGACTCGTGGCCCTCAGCTACAGATTATTAGATGTTAATAGTTGAGCATCGTCATAGATGTGTCAGTTTAGAAAATTGTTAGACAGATAGTCGTTCTGAGATAGAGATTCCTAGAAATCGCCGCCCGCATTCAAACATCTCAGCGTCAAGCTGTAGCTGTAAATAGGTCCTAGCAGTTTTACTAACTTGCTCATGTTTTACTGTAACTGATAAACCATCAGTCTAACAAAATGTACGTAAGGTTGCTCGAATGCGCGCGCGAAAAGGGGCGGAGCTATTGTATATTACATATTTAAAATAAGTAAACAGCCCCCATCATTCTACATCATATCGGTTCAACACATATAACTAGCGCGATGAGTGAGAGATATCCATATTTGTCGCTTTAGGTTCCGATTTCATCATAATGTTTCTGATTTTCAGTATCCAATACTAAAGATTTTCTCCATTACGCACCTTTTTTTGGAGAAATGGCTGAGTTGGATATACTGAGGGTAAGGTGTTCGTCTGTCTCGAGATGTCAAAACTGAAGTATTAGGTGAAACAAGATCGAATTCAAGATCCCGCTTTAACTGCGGAATGGAACAAGAAAGCTTTAGTCTGGGTTCCACACGAGAAGGATGGGTTTGTTTTAGCTTCAGTCGTAAAGGATGATAATTCTGGTTAGTTACTTTCTTCGTTCGTTGTTCTTCACCCTCCTTGTTTTGAGATCTCATTGAAGTAGAAATATTAGATACTAACGAAAAACAAAGAATTAGCAGAGATGACTGTCAAAAGGTACTAATCAACTTATCTGTGCTTGTACATTATCATTCGTTCAGGTCAATCCTCCAAGGTTTGACAAATGCGAGGATATGGCCAATATGTCTTGCTTGAATGAAGCTTCTGTCCTATGCAACTTGAAGCAGCGTTATTATGCTAATTTGATTTACGTGAGTTCTTATAAGGACATATCTCATATCAATCTCTCCTTTCAGACTTATTCTGGATTGTTCTGTGTAGTTATTAATCCTTATCAACGTCTTCCAATTTACACAGATTCCATTGCCGACCTCTTCAAAGGAAAAAAGAGGAAGGAAATGCCACCTCATATATTCGCTGCCACTGATGAGGCATATCGCAATATGTTGCAGGATAAAGAGGATCAATCCATTCTCTGCACGTAATAATTAACATGTCAACTTTTCCATACCTCTAGCTTCAGGGGAGAATCAGGTGCTGGTAAAACCGAAAATACTAAAAAGGTTATCCAATATCTGGCAAATGTCGCTGGCTCCCGTAAAACTGGGGTAAGTTGTAAGAAATATTCAGTTTAGTAATGGAATATCACAGATTGCCGATCTAGACACCTCTCATACTAGATTGGTTGGACATTTGGAAGAGCAGTTGCTGCAAGCTAACCCCATTCTCGAAGCCTTCGGTAACAGTAAGACTATCAAGAACGACAATTCTTCCCGCTTCGTAAGTTTAAGCTTAGGTATTGCTGTTGGAATAAAGAGGTTTTCAGGGAAAGTTCATTCGAGTTCATTTTGATGCTACTGGTTGCATCTCGGGAGCCAATATTGAGTTCTACTTGTTAGAGAAGTCTCGAGTTCTCAGACAAGCTGTATTAGAAAGAAGTTTCCACATTTTCTATCAGATGCTCAAGGGTGCTACTCCTAAGATGAAGAGTAAGATTCGTTGTATTCTTGTGATCAATTTCGTGTCGTAGGTGATCTGTTGCTCGAGGAAAATATCGGAAACTACCGATTCTTGTCTAATGCTGATGTACATATTCCTGGTGTTGATGATAAGACTGAGTTTGCCGAAACAGTTAAAGCTATGAATATCATGGGAATCGAAGAAAATGAAGTTCAAGGTAAGGGTGGTCTATTGTGTCTTTTCGAGTAATGTGTTTGTTAGATATTCTCCGCATTGTTTCGGCTGTGCTGCTTTTCGGAAATCTTGAGTTCGGTCATGAGAATAAGAATAGTGATCAAGCTATCCTTCTTAATGATGCCGTTGCTCAAAAGATTTGTACCCTTCTTGGTCTCAACTTATCTGATCTCATGAGAGCTTTCTTGAAACCCAAAATTAAGGTTGCTTCCTAGTTTTTTCTCCGGATAATGATAGTTATGATTAGGTTCAAAGAGATCATGTACATAGAAGTCAGAGTGAAGAGCAAGCTCGTTTTTCTGTTGAAGCAATCGCAAAAGCTTGCTTCGAACGTCTCTTCAGGTAATTGTAGCTCATTTTATTCGATATATCATGACTATGATTCAGATGGCTGGTTCAGAGACTGAATAAGTCTCTTGACAGAACTCGTCAAAACGCCATCAGCTTCGTAGGAATTCTCGATATTGCTGGGTAAGCCGGAAAGTCATTTTCTTTATTCATCTGTAATTCAGTTTCGAGATCTTCGACATGAATTCTTTCGAGCAGTTGTGTATTAACTATACTAATGAGAAGCTGCAACAGCTTTTTAATAACACCATGTTCATTCGTGAACAACAAGAGTACCTGGATGAAGGTCTCGATTGGGATATGATTGACTTCGGACTCAATCTTCAGCCAACCATTGATTTGATTGAGAAGGTGAGTGCTTCATCTTTTTAACTCATGTTATTTCTGTGTTCTAGCCCATGGGAATTCTTTCAACTCTTGATGATGTCTGTCTGTTCCCACAAGGCAGTGACACTGGATTCGTCGAACGATTGGTTAATCAACATCATCAACATCCTAAATACGTTGTTCCTGAAATGAGAGCAAAGTAAGCTCTTGTGTTGGATATCTTCTCTATTTTCATTTTTTAGGAGTGACTTCGCTGTAGTTCACTATGCAGGAAGAGTCGACTATGCCGCTTCTGGATGGAGAGTCAAAAATATGGACCCTTTGAATGAAAACGTTGTTGAACTCCTTCAAAGTGCACGTGAATCGTTACTTGCTGAGATTTGGAAGGATGGTATGTTCGAGCTTGAGGTTACGGTTTCTTATCTACTTTACAGTTAGTGATGTATGTAGCATGGGTGCTACAGAAGTGGGTGACGCCGCTATTTTTGGTGCTCGTGTGAAGAAGGGAATGTTCCGAACTGTTTCCCAAATGCATAAAGAACAGTTGACCCGTTTGATGTCCACTCTTCATAACACGAATCCTCATTTCGTCAGATGTATTATTCCCAATCACGAAAAGAAGGTATCGAAGATGTTAGTCTAATATCTGAACATATCGTGTTTAGCCTGGTTCTCTCAACGCTAATCTTGTACTTGATCAGCTGAGATGCAACGGAGTTTTGGAAGGAATCAGAATCTGTCGTCAAGGATTCCCGAATCGTTTACCTTTCCAAGTATTGATTAATTACATATGAATATATGAAAAACATCTAATTAGGAATTCCGTCAACGTTATGAACGTCTTCTTACACCTGAGGCAGTTCCTCATGGGTTCATGGACGGAAAGGAAGCTGTTAGACTGATGATGACTGCTCTGGAGCTTCAACCGACTTTGTTCCGTATTGGTCAGTCTAAGATCTTCTTCCGCACCGGAGTCTTGGCTGAGTTGGAAAGACTTCGTGATGAACGTTTGACAGAGCTTGTTATTCAGTTCCAGGTATTATTATTAAAATTATCGGTGCCTAAATCTTTTTCAGGCCGTTTCTCGTGGAGTTCTTGCTCGTAAACAGTTCAGTCGAAGAAAAGAACAGGCTGCTGCTATTCGTCTTATCCAGAGAAATGGACTAGCATGGATGAGGCTGCGTGAGTGGCAATGGTGGAGACTCTATACTAAAGTTCGATCTTTGTTCTACGCCCTTCTAAATCTTGTTTCTGACAGGTCAAACCATTGTTGGAGGTTACCAACAAGGATGAGCTCATCGCAGAAAAAGAGATCGCCTTGAAGACAACAAATGAAAAGCTTCGAAGAAGTGAGCTCTTTATAAGCGATATGTCAGACAGACTTAGCAAGGCAAGTGACAAATGGTTTTCTGATCTAACCAGCTTTTCAGATGGAAGAAGAACGTGCACGTATTCAACAAAAGCTTGACATTGAAACTTTGGAAAGAGCTGAAGCGGATGAAGCCAGAGCTCATGTGTCTGCTAAGAAGGCCGAGTTGGAAGAAGCCATGATGGCGTTAGAAAAGCAGTTGAAGAGTGAAGAACAAGGAAGAAGTTCTGCGGAAGTTGAGCGCAAGCGCCTCATCGTATGTTCACAAATCTCTTTCCTGCTGTACGATAATATTACAGGAAACTGTCCATGATTTGGAGATGCAGCTCGAAGAAGAAGAAAAGAAGCGTCAAACTATCCAGTTGGAGAAGAACTCTCTTCAGAACTCATTGAAGCAATATGAGTCGGTTAAGCACGATCTGGAAGAGAACTCTGGAAAAGTGAGTTGATTTTGCATCAACGTTATTGAATATGTTTCTAAGGTTTTGAAAGAGAAACTTGTGTTGGAGGCTAGATGTAAAGACTTGTCTGATCGTTTGATCGACGAGGAAGAGAAGGTAAAGTCTCTCACCAAGCTGAAAACTAGGTTTGAAGCCCAGATAGCGGAATTGGCTGAAGAGTGCGACAGGTGAGCTCAAATCTCAAATAATTCAACAAATGATGTGTCTTCCAGAGAAAAGAGCGCTCGGGCTTCCGTTGAATCTGCCAAGCGTGCTCTTGACAACGAGCTCCGTGATGAACGGGAAACTTCTTCTGAACGGTTAAGAAAGGCCGAAGAGTTGACTCAGCAGTTATTGAAGAAGGAAAGCGAGTTGGCAGCTTCAGTCCTCAAGTATGCAGTGGTGAAAGTTTATTTCTTCATTTCATTTTTTTTCAGAAGTGATGAAGAAGCAGCTCAAATTCAGCAAATGGAGCGTGATCTCCGTGACCTTCGCGCTCAAATGGATGATTTGCAAGAGGATATCAAGCAGGAACAAGCTGCTAGGTAGTGCTCTCTGTCTTGGATCATAACTAAAAATGAGTTTAGAGTGAAAGCTGAAAAAGCTCGAAGAAACATGAGTGAAGAACTCGAAGCTTACAAGCTCGAGTTAGAAGAGTCACTTGATAAATCTGTTCTTCATCAAGAAATGAGAAACAAGAGAGAAGAAGAGTTCGTTCAACTTCAGAAACAGTTGGAGGAATCAATGAAGGATTCCACAGAGAGGGTTGAAACTGTTCGATCAAAGTATCAGAAGCAAGTTGATGAGTTAACCGAGAATATTGACCTGTTGAAGCGTCAGAAACTATTGGTTTGTTCTATCCGATACAATTACTGTTACCATCAAAAATATAGGCTGAGAAGTCTCATGGTCAAGTAGAAGGTGAACTTCAGAGCCTTCAAGCTGAAGTTGAAACTCTTTTGTTGGCTAAGCAGGAGGCTGATCGTAGACGTAAAAATGCCGAATCTCAGTTGTCAGATCAGCAACTTCGTTTCAAAAACTTGCAAGAGGAAGCCGATGATATCACTTCAAAACTGGCGAAAGTACGTAGTGTGTCTATGCTATTGTTTATAATTCTTCTTTTAAAGGCTAACATTGAAATCGAGAGCTTGCACAAGCTTAAAGACGCTGACTCTGAGAATAATGCCAGTCTTCTCAAGAGAATAGCTACTTTGGAGACTCAAGTTTCTGAATATGCTGATGTGATTGGCTCCTTATGTTTCATTTTTTGAACTTTTTCATTTAAGGCAGAGCAAGAGAGTCAGAATAACCGAAATATTATGATGTCTCGAATGAGATCTGCTGAAGATGGCTTAGCGGAAGCAAAAGAACAGAATGATGACTTGTTGGAAAAAATTGAGCGTCAAGACAGGGTCAGGAATTACATTAGTTTGTCAGAGTATTAATTCGGATTTAGGAGATTACTGCTCTACGAACACAACTTGCTGAGGCAAAGAGGAAGCTTGAAGATGAAACAGGAGAGAAAATCGAAGAAGTCAAGCGAAAGTTGGGAAAAGATTTGGCAGATGCTATTGCTCGTGGAAGAGAATCTGATGCTCTCAGAGAGAAAGCTGAAAAGGCTAAGAAGAAAGCCTTAGAAGAGGTAAGATGAAACGTTCCAACATATCTTTATCCTTATCTTTTAAAGGCTGAAGACTTGAGTAGAGAGCTCGCTGAGGTAGGAAATCAATTGCGTGATCTTGATCGTCGTCAACGTAAATTCGATCAACAACTCGCGGAAGAGAAGGCTAACACTACCAAAGTTCAACAAGCTCTTGATTTGGCACAGGAACAAGTTGCTTTATAACTGTAAACGTAACTAATTGGTTTCTCCAGATGCGTGATAGTGAAACGAAGAAGATGAACACCCAGAAGGAAATGGAAGAGCTTAAGGAACAGCTAGCTGAAGTCGAGAAGGAGAGAAGAATGCTCAAACTTGAAGTCGATAACTTGGCTTCCAATCAAGATGATACCGGTAAAAACGTGTATGAGTTGGAGAAAGCGAAGACTAGATTAGAGGATGAACTTTCCCGTGCTAGAGAATTGGTAAGCGTCCTGTATTCTGATGAAAATAACAATTTATGTTCAGATCATCGAGCTTGAAGATGCTACCCAGTTGGCTGAGGATGCTAAATCAAGAATTGAAGTCCAATTCCAGGCAGCTAAGCAAGAATGGGCCAGAACCGCTGCTTCCCGTGAAGAAGAGGAAGAGGAGCGTAGACGCACTCTCGTTAAACAAGTACGGAATAATTTTTCTTTCTGCTAAGTTGAATATTTTGAAGGTGCGAGACTTGACCGAAGAACTTGAAACTGAGCGTAGATTCAAAGCTACAGCTCTCGCCAGTAAAAAGAAGAGCGACACTCAACTCCAAACTCTCCAAGAGGAGAATGAAAAAGCGATGAGACAGTTGGATGAGCTTACCAGACAGTGCCGAAGGGCAAATCAAAACGCTAAAGATGCTCAAATAGAAGGATCTGAGGCTAGAGCTGCTATGGATGAAGCATTATGTACATCAAGAGAAGCCGAAAAGAGGTTTTTTAATTAGGAAATACTACTCAAAGTTTCATTCTGTAGGGTTCGTCACCTTGAAGGTGAAATCACTCGTTTGGGAGACGAGCTCAATCTTGCTACCCAAGGAAGAAAGAAAGCCGAAGCCGAGAGAGACGATCTTTTGGATGAGGTTAGGGCCGTTAAAAATGGCCAGCTCGGACAAGAGGAGAAAAGACGGTTTGTTCCGAAATCGTTATTCTTACTGTGTTATTCAGCTTTGAGAGAAGAATCGCTGACTTGGAAGATCAACTGGATGAGGAACAAACAAGTCATGAAGTCACAGCTGAGAAAATGAAACAGGCTCAGACTCAAGTCGAAAAATTAACAACTGAACTGACACAAGAAAGAGCCATGTGTGAACGTATGGAAAGTGACAAGAAGAATCTAGAAAGGAATGTTCGTGATCTCAACCAGCAATTAGAAAACGTTGAAGGTAGTCACTTTACAAAGCATTGAAACATTTTGTATCTCAGGTTCTGTTTCTGCTCGCATGAGGGCTCAAATTGCCAACTATGAAGCAAGGAATAGACAGATAACGGATCAGCTGGATGAAACAGAAAGAGATCGCGCTTCTCTTGTTCGTCAGGTAATTGTAATGGTACCGACTTTTTCATTATGAACGTATTTTAGATTCGCCGTCTTGACAGACAGCTAGCTGAGATGAATGAAGTTCGAGAAGAAGAGAGAAGACATGCTCAACAGGATAAAGAGTCGGTTAGTATTGTCTTATGTTCACGTGTTCTCATACTCATACCCAGGCCGATTCTGCTTCTGCTCGTTTGAGACACGCCAAACGCGAATTGAACGATAGAGAGGATGAGCTTGAAAAAGAAAAGATCAAACTGAAGGAAGCCCGTCGGCAAGTTGATGATCTTGCTGAGCAAATACAGACGTTGACCCGTGAAAATCAGTCATTTAAGGTTTGCTCAGTTGCCTTGTTCAACGATCAACTTTTTTTCAGAGCCGAGTAACGGCTGATCGTAGATCCGTAATGGCCCTATCTCGAGATTCCAGAAGATATGGAAGTTCTCACTCTATTAGAGGTTCCACTTACTTCAAAAGCATGAATGATCCGCAAGAACTAGAGTTTGCAGATGATAGCAGACCTTTGGGTGATGATGTTAGGCCTAGCTCTAGGCTCACTACAGGTTCTCATTGTGGTCCAAGTGAAGACGATCGAGAGTCAAATAAGACTTAATGTAATCATATGTTAATTTTCGCATACGCGCAGTGCATCCATTTTAACATTTTTTTAACCAGGAGCTATGCAGTATGGGTTGTATACTTAACGTTTTTTAAACATTTTACCTGTTTTGCATTATAAAGTTTTGAATCTTCGATCATTCATTGCTGGCACAATAAACAGTACGACAATACTAGTTGAAGCTTGTTTGTACATTTACTCCCAATGTAGTTCCTACGAACCGAGACTTGAATTTAAGGAAGGTTCTTCTGTGTAGAGTTGATCATCACTACTGGCTTTACCTTCGAAGTACAAATCAAATCGTAGCTCTTACATGGATCAAGGATGGACGGATGACTAATATGGAATCGATGAAAGTTAGAAGGAGCATGTACTACAACAGATTATGCTAAGAATTGGCTTCATTTTTTGGAAGTACGTGGAATCGCGTGAAGTGGGCTATGCATATGGAAGCACTTGTCGGACATGGATATGAATAGAAAGGAGAATTAAGTTTTTGAATTTCACTTAGAAGAAAGTAATATTTGAGTTTCTTGATCATTTTTAATGCTTTACGTTTGAAGGTAATGAAAATAACGAATGTGTTGAAAGCTCTACCTCCAAAATTGAAAAAAAGACTTTTCAAGGTAATGTTTGGATAAGTTACTTCTTCACTGTGTTCTTGAACAGGTCGCACAACTCTCCAAAAAATCACATTCGTATGAAAATGATAAGATCGATCAACTACGGGCTATGGCCGAATTCGGGCTCAAGTTAGTTTTTATCAAGTTATGTTCACGGTCATGCGCATTACAGAGAGCAAGACTTAGCTGATCTTCCTAGCCATCCCAAACCTGCAATCGGCATTACAAACGTTCACAAAAGTCATGGATTGCTTTATTCCCTAACAGATGTATATCACAAAGCATTAAAGGTAAGCTGTTTCTTCTGTGTGCAGTACCTTGTTCTCAGGTTCATGGAAGCAGCGAAGCTCTTTCAGCTCATCGTCGTCCCTTGGTGGCTATGAGAACTCAGTTAACTGATGCTGAAAGAATGAGAATGCGAATGCGGGTAGAAACAACCTCCGAAGGAAGTAAGGTAATATTATTGTTAATTAGCATATCACTCAATTACTCGTTATCACGTATCTCACGGTAGAATATCATTTTCAATGCATGTTATGTAGTGTGCGGTTGATCATGTATTTTGTAAAACGCTCAATTACCATTTCTGTTGCAGGGTGCAGATCGGGTCGTTGCTATTGCTTTCAGTCTCAACATGTGCGATGCAATATTCAAAGTAAGTGCAACATTCATCTATCTGTTCAGTTTGTATATTGTAGTTTGGTGCGGCTTACTTGACCGGCTCCAAATCTCTTTTCGCAGAAGCTATTCACAGCACTATGGACACGTGCAATCAGCTGATTCTTCTGTTAGGAATTAGGTATTCTGCCAAGAACCCAGACAATCTGTTCCCTTATGGCTATGGTTTGAGAAGATTCTATTATTTTCATGATGTCATGTGTTTAGGAAACATGAGGTATGTCACCTCGTTGATATCTGGTTGCGGTATCATGGCTTTTGGCTGCGGTCTTTCTATTTATCACGGCGTTAGTGCTCTGCTTCACCCCGCAGAATTAGAACCACTAACTTATGTAAGTCATTCCATGTTTAATTGATCGTACATGTTTTCATACAGGCCTATTATGCTTTACTTATGTCATTATGTTTTCAAGGAACGTCAGCTTTGACAGCTTACAAAGAAGCGTTCAAAAAGTCCAAAGCTGCTGGTTTGAGCTTGATCAACTATGGTATTAAAAAACATCATCCGATTTGATTATTTTTGAATACTTCAGTTCAAACTGCTGGAGATCCATCATTGAATGTTGTTCTTCTCGAAGATACAGCTGCTGTTTCTGGAGTATGTTCGCAACTTAATTCCCCTTGTTGATTCAAAGACTTATAGGTTGTTGTTGCTCTGGGAGCCATCACTTTATCTTCTGTATTGAATTCTCCTATTCCCGATGCATGCGGTTCTATTGTGATTGGAGTATTACTCGGTAATCTCGAAAGTTTTTTGTTTTCATAGAAATTCTAGGAACTGTTGCATCGTTCATCATTCGTTCAAATGCGGCTCACTTAGTTGGTAGAAGTTTGCCGAAGCGGATTACAGACGATATCGTATGTCGTCTGAATAATGATCCTGTGATACGGTAGCTGCATCATTTTTCATCAGTTTGAAGCTTTTATTTTAGATCTGTCCATGATGTGAAGGCCACAGCTCTCGGTGTAGAACAGTCACGGTTCAAAGCTGAACTTGATTTCGATGGGCGTGCAATCACACGTGCTTACTTAGCTAGTGAAGCAGTGAACGTGCCCAAAATGCTTGAAGTACAGTTTCATTTTTAACAATTAATCAAAATGAGAGTTTTGTAGCAAGTGAGAGCGATTGAGAATGAAGATCAGTTGGAAATCTTCATGGAGAATCACGGAGAAAAAATAATTGATCGATTGGGTGACGAAATTGATAGGATCGAAAAAGAGATAACCAAGAAGCATCCTGACATTCGACATGTAGATTTAGAAGCCCTGTAGTCCCCTTGATATGCCATGGATTGATCGGGTTGTGTGCATATGTTACAAATTTTAAGTTATTTTTCAATTTTCCACAGCTTCGTCTAGTATTTTCATAATTTTTTTATGTATGCAATGAATGGCCGAAGATTCAAAATATGAAAATGAAAGGCAAGGAATTAATAAAATTACAGCATCAACGTTCACTGAACAGTCGTTTTTTGAACTCCAGAGGTTGCATATCAAACGCTCAACCCATCTTGAATGGCAATAGGATCTGAAGAATGTTGTGGTTTATCTTATTCGTTCACGACGATCGGTTTCAGATCAGTTTGCACTGTCGACGTCTGAAAATAGACAAAGCTCCATGGTTTCTTGAACTTTTTGGTTTTCTAACCTTTACAGCTTTGATAGGTCTATTCCAAATGCTAATTCGAATGAAAACTCACATTTCTTCACTACTGCAACAATTCGTTAGTTCTATCACGTCTTGGAGACTTGCTTTTGTAGCGAATAAGATATCTTCCTTCTTCGATGTAATTTGACAGCACACGTGGACACCTGCTACTGTTCCTCGGCAGAGAACTACTCGAATTCTCGAATTATTGGTAGGAAAAACATATTTGGAAGACTTATTGGGTGCTTCTTATCAAGTCGGTTCTTTGCCTAACTAAACTAAATCTGCTCACTTGACTTGTCCTTTGTGCGTGCCTTACGCTCATACGAACACAACAACTGCACTTGTTTTGAATTTTTTATTAGTTCGGCCTTGGTTCTACATTGGGAGAAAATTGAGTATCGTATTAGGAGGTTTGATCTAGCAGAAGCCACATGTCTTTCTGCAGAATTTGCTAACTAGGAAGAAATGTTTTTTGGAAGAGCATTTTTCCATTTTTTCTTGACAATCCCCCACGAGGTCTTGGCAGATTGTATCTGTTGTCTGTCCTACTGGTGCAACGACTTTGACACTTTCAACACTGCGTTTCCCTCTTCTTCCATACATCTCTTCTACTTCCGTGTACTCCATGTCACACCTAGAATGACGAGATTTTAAACATTAATAGAATTCAAAGAAATCACCATCCACATTCTCTTCTGCAGCCTCTGAACATATTTCCAAGATAATCAGGATTGAAGCACAAACTTCTCTTATAACAACAATCGAATGCCTTGTCTATGCATCTGATAACAGTTTTCTGATTAATTTTACTCACTTCATGAAACTTTACCTGTCGTCTTCTTGGATTTGAGCAGCAGACTGAGTAATGAAGCAACCAACAATGAATAATTGAATGTACATCTCTTACTCTCAACTTGAAATTTTGTGCTGCAGCATTGTCTTTTTATATTGGAAGTTCATGGTTTAGCCTATTTACATAGCTGTAGTAAAACATCTAACCGAATTTAGCATCTGTAAAGAGATGCCTATCGTGTGTGTGCTTGTGTATCTTTGTGGAGCTTCAACTTTAATTTTTTGTCTTTCATTGGTTCCAATCAGGTCATAAGACCAGAGAACTGCAACCAATTATTTGATAAACACTGGAAATCAAACAATTAATAAAAAGGTTTCCTAATGCATGGAAGGCACTCGGCTCATGAGAAGAGCTTAGATTCGGCTGAAATGCGACTGCCAAAAGATATCATATGAAGTTGCAGCTTAAATTTCAATTTAAGATTATGGGAAAAGCAAAGAGAAAAGAAGAAAAAAAGAACGTTTCATTCATCACATCATAACAATGTTTGCAAGCAACTGAGAAGGAAAAGTAAGCATTCTGAACCATATAAGAATCACCAATACACGACCCGTCTGACACAAATAAATTTTTTTGGAGCGAATAAAAAAAAAAAAGGAAATAAAAGAAACAATGAAGTATGTTATTAAACAATCATATGTTGCTGAGATTCGCATGTAATCGCAGCTTCAGGTAGAGATACTGTTGTCTTTTCTATATTACGATAGAAATGATACATCTGCCATTTACGCGTTAAATACCGTGCACATGCTTTGACAGTTATAAGAAAAAAAAATATTATTAATGTCATAGCTGTTCCAATTCCTATCATTGGGTCATAACTTTTATAAAAATCTTCTTCTGATCGTGGAGGATGAACCTGAATTATATATATATTTCATCATATTTTATGTATTTGTAGATGTGATTAGCATAATTCTCACGCAATACACGTGACACACGCAAATGCCAAACGTTGATTCATTTTGTTTTTGTGACAGTTTAGAACGGTTGCTGGATCAGTCTCTCTCTCTCTCTCTCTCTCTCTCTCTTCTTCTCTTCTCATCTCTATCTCTCACTTTCTGTTTTTTTCGTTTCAAAATTTCGTTTATGCAGATTTCAGCTGCTCGAACTCTTACTCGTAACTTATATAGATATGTGTGTATTTACCTCCATAAAATCCCGTTTCTCATGACATAAAGGATAGCATTCCCTCGTCATTTCTTTATTTATCCTGAAACGATTCGTATTTTAGTTTTTATATATTCACTTTTGCATATATTTGTATGTTAAGGAATTTGCACATGTTATTGATCGATTTGAGTGAAAGAATAGATCAAAGCGTTCGACGACTATCGTTATTGAGAGCTGATAAGGAGCTGCTGGCACGTATTTGATAATGTCATTAGTCCATTTCAGCTTTCTCTTCATTGTCATGTAATGCTCGATAAGTTCTAACTTTCGATTTTGATATTCGTGAAAGGATTGATCATGATCGCGCTTCAGTCCATTAAGCTAATAGTCTCACGTTTATTATTATTATTATTTTCATAGATTTACAATGAGATTTTGATTGAAAGTAAGGCTCAATGAGCATTATCGAAAAACAGTAGTTGTAGGATTAGGAAATAAGCTCTAAGCTGGTGATAAAAACGCCTTCTGATTAAGAAACTTCATTCAACTGGAGAGCATTCATAGATGGTTTTATCAAACACGGATCTCTCTCTATCTCTCTTACTCTTCTTGTCTTTCGACATTTTTACTCCATTTCTTCACTGGATGGTAAAACATACACTTTGCTTTCCATCTTAGTCAGAGTTTGAATTGGAAAATCGATAAAAGCCAAAATCGTTTGATTGCATACGAGATCATCGGCAAGAAAATAACAGACTCGTATCGTTTACCAAATATTTTGATTCTATTTTCTCTGATTTTCATATTGTTTATATTTACATGTGCACTTAGCATTCTTCATGAAAATGAATTGAAATGAAACTAACCTATTTTGCTTTTAGTGATGGGCCAGTCCAATTCACAGTTACCGGAGCATGAACTTGAGCAGCTAAGCATCGAAAGTGGACGTTAGTTTATGTTTTAATCTCAAAATTGTGGATAATAATTCTGAAATATGTGTATTTTCATTTGAAAATTGACTGAGTAAGTAGGACAAAGAAGAATGTGAGAGTTGAAGAAGTGAAAGATGAGATTTGTCCGCAAGTTCGCATATCAAAATGATTTGAAAAAAGAATGCAGCAAGCTATTAGGCATCTTCTAATAATCTGGCTGTTGCTTTGAGAGTGAACTTCTTCTTGTCGAAAATGATTGTTAGGACAGCTGCAGCTAATGAATAGTTAAGAAAGTTCATTGCAATAAAGCACATTCAATGTTAAAATAGTTTTTGTTTGAAGCTTTTCGGCTTGATGATGACGCGGCTAGTCGATAAGAGATTTAACGTAGAGATGATGCTATTTTGTGTTTCTTACATATAGTTCAATTGGAGGAGCTATAACTACAGCTGTCTCTATTTCCATTTATGGCTCATAAACATCATTTAAATAACATGGAGAAGAAGGGAAATGTTAAATCTAGCACTATAGAGAGCGTGATTACACATCTTGTTATTTGCTTTAATGTAGAAAAATATATTTTAAACTGTTAATTCGAGCTCATTGTTAAAGATGATAAAGCTATATTTAGAAGGTGTAGGAGGTGTTGAACGTTAAATGGAGGTGAGAATGGAGAATGAAGATAGAAAACAAAAAAAAAATGCAACCGCTCTCTGCTAATTCTCATTTTCAAATTAAGTCTGAAGGTACATGAACGACGCGTCAGTTCACGTTTGTGCAAATTAGCATAACGAGGAAGCATTCTGCATACTTTTGCGTATATTAAAGCGAAATGGATTTTGTTTTGCTCTTTATTGACGAATAGTTTTTTCATCTTCATCTTCATCTAATAACAAGTGAGAGTGTAGACAAGGATATAAAGCATTGTGATGTTAGTTCTCATCAAGTTACACCACAAGCTTACATAACCGTGTGAGTGGTGAGAGTGAGAGTTGCAACGACAATTTTAATAATAATAAAAAAACCAGCAATAATATAATGAAATGGAAAATTGCTTTTTCAGTTTCACGATCGGGCATTCTGACGCTTTATCAACGATTTTCTCATCTGGCAACTCATTTGGATAAAACGCTCAACGAAGCCTTTTTAACAAAAAGTGATTTTTTGGTAATGAAAATGAATATAGAACTTCAATATTCATGTATGTCTAGAGTATCTCGGAATTACAGCAGAATCCTCTAGGAAATCGAATCATTGATGCCTTTTTCGCAGATGCTGAGTAAGTTGATGTTACATGAATTATTCAGTTTCAAAAAAAAAAAGGGTAAAGGACTATGATACAAATCCTTTTTGCTTGGCTATTTATAGGCAATAGAGGAGAGTATGAGACAAGGTCGACTTGAGATGAATGAAATTTTAAGAGAGATTCGTTCACAAAATTTTTGACAACGATATGAACAAGTGTGTAGAGCTTCTCTCACTCTCACTACCTCTCTCTCTCTCTCTCTCTCTTTCTCTCTCTGTGTGATAGCAAACGAAGCCGGGAGCAAGAGAGTGAAAAGAATTGATTTCAAAATTTGAAAAACATTGGGAAAAAAAAGTTTGAAGATGATTAAAGGATAGTTGAGTATATCAGTTGATATACGTCGGATGAAAATACTACAACATATATAAAAGCCAGCTGTTATTTGTGCTGCTGAAACATTTGATCTCTTGCTCTCAGCAACGTACATACTCTTGCAGTCGTGAGTGAAGAAACTGAAACATTTCACTTATTTCAAATGTTTTTTTTTCATAGTTGGCAGTGTGTGTGTGAGTGAGATAGACGAAACCTGATAGCCTCATAAGTACAAAGAGAAAAGAGCGAAACTGTTTTTTTTGTCTTTTGCGTTTGCGAGATGAAAGAAACAGAGACGAGCAGCGCTAAGTTTTATGCGTGTGTGTGCGTGTGCGTGAGTGAGTGAGTGAGTGAGTGAGTGAGTGTGTGTGTGTGCTCCAGCGGAGAACAAAAGTATGGAAGGTCTATTTAAGTTGTTAACATCCGTGCGGGAAAGACGATTTTTCAAAAATTCCATTACTTATTTGGATATTTTCTCGAACAATGTATGCGATGAAGCGTAATATATCTTCTAGAAGAAGTACAGAATGGCTTTTTCCAGCCTTTAAAGGTGATCAAGAAAGCCCAACAGCTTGGAAGAGAAAGAGACGAAAGGCTGTGGAGTTGAGAGTAAAAATAGTTTTTGAACGAGGGCATTCCTTGTGAAAAGCAGAAAAAAAAAGAAAAAACACAGGTTGAAGGATGATATTCGTTAAAAAGTGAATTCATGAAGAGCTGAACAAGCTGAATTCATAAAAGCTTGATTATGAACTGGGTCACGCTAAAGATTAAAGAATATTCGATGCGTTTGAAACAACAACCACACACACACACATATATATATCGACACTAATTTCCAGAGTTGGTGAACGTCGTAAGCTTTACTTCCGAGATTTCGTGAAAGTTTTAAGCCATTTCCGGCCTATAAACAAGAATAAGCCACATCCTTGGAATAGTCGTGAAGCGAAATTGAGATGTAAGATAAACAGTGAGTCTGATTTATAACCAGTTGTTTTTCAGTCGCCTTCACAATGTATGATTTGAATAAGAGCGGTACGATCACGAAAGATGAATTCCGCGAAATACTACAAGTAATGTTTATGGCAATAAAAAAATATTTATTTGCGACATGCATATAGATGATGATTGGAGATAATGTTCCCGAAGAGCAAGTTGACTCCATTGCTGACCGAACAATGCGTGAAGCAGACCGTGACGGTGACGGATGCATCACCTTTGCCGAATTCTGCAGTGTGAGTAACAAACATAAACATAACATTAAGTATCAATTATAAAACTCAAAAAGCGATTAAAACAATTTTTCCCTCTCAGCTATCGTTATCGTTCGTCATCATTGATAAATTGCTCTATTTAGGCTATGGACAAGACTGATATTGAACAGAAAATGTCCTTCCGCTTCCTCACATAATTCGAAATGGCTAACTAACGATTATTATTTCATTCAATACTAACAGAGTTGATTTGTGCTTGCATGTAAATACAACTAATCAATAAATTATATTTTTTTAATTTGCTCATTATTCGTTCCTTTTCCGTGTTCGCAAACTCTCGTCAAAAATGGTATTGTACTCTCTCTCTCTCTAATGCGGTTCGATTGATTACGTGACTGTCAGCCTAACCCGTATCTGTAGCAACTTCTTGGACGTGACAATTGACAAATTCGTCTTTTCTTGTCAAGAAACTTTCTCAATATCATGTCTTCAGCCATTTCTCAGTCACAACACAGTTTGTATAAATGCTTCTTCAGGCTAATATCTAACCAAGTGCCATGACTGACAAGAAGACCAAGTGCAAAATTGCGATTGCCCAAGTTGGCACTGTTCTCTTCGATTTTGAAGCAACATTAGCCAAGTTTGAACAATATGTGAAGGAAGCCAAAGAAAATTCTGCTGATCTCGTCCTGTTTCCCGGTATGTTCCCAACCATTTTCTGTTCTCTCTATACTGATCGTATTTAGAAGCTTTCATAGGTGGTTATCCCAAATTCTCCGATTTCGGAGTTGTATTAGGAACTAGAAGTGCAGAGGGGAGAGAAGACTTTGAAAAGTATTTTTCTTTCCAAGTTTTTAAAACAAAGACTTGTTTGCAGATATCATTCATCCGCCATCCAAGAATTCGGGCCAGAATTCAATAGACTTCGCGATATCGCTAAGTTATATAAAATTACTGTCGTAACAGGAGTTATTGAAAAGGATCAGGGTACTCTGTACTGTTCAGTATGCTTCTTTAGTCTCACACTGCTTCTATAGCCATGTTTTCAGGTTTTCTATTTCGGTCCTGAAGGCTACTTGAGTAAACACCAAAAACTTCTACCTACAGCTATGGAGAGATGTGTATGGGGAAACGGGGATTCCTTTTTCATGAAAGTAAACTAGCCAACTCAACAAATGAATATATCCCACTCATTCGAAGGCGGTCGAAACCGATGTTGGTACGATTGCAGCTGCCATTTGTTGGGAAAACTATATGCCATTGTACAGATTCTATCTCTACAGTCAAGGTACTGATTCTTTTTTTTGAACAATCAACACAATCAGAACAGGAGTTCAAATATATCTTGCACCCACTGTTGATGATCGCGAAGTCTGGTTGCCTACTATGAGAACTATTGCCTTAGAAGGAAGGTTGCAAATTTTTTCTGAGTTACAATTATGTTGAGATTCTTTAGATGTTTCGTTGTGTCTGCTTGTCAGTTCTTGAAAGGGTCTGATTACCCTGCTGATCATAAGATGCGTAAACTTTATAAGGACAATGAGGTTCTCTATTTAACCCGATGGGCCTTCTAACTCTGTTTCAGGTTTTGATCAGAGGAGGCTCATGTGCTGTAGATCCGCTTGGTAATGTGTTGGTTGAACCTGATTTTTCAGGAGAAATGCTCAGGTTTTTTATACTTTTCGACAGTTTTCATTTTCCCCTCAGATATGTGGACATAGATCTCTCGATGATTATCAAAGGCAAGTTCGATTTGGATACCGTTGGTCATTACAACCGACCTGATATCTTCCAACTGCATGTTAAAACAAGAAGCCATCCACTGGAACGAGGAGTAGTAGAGGAAGAAGAGAAGATGAAAGATTAATACAGAAATATTGATATTAATAAATTATGTTCAAAACCTTAATGCTTCAATTTTTTAAAAGTACGTGGATTCGCGTGAAGTTGCTTATGCATGTGTAAACACAACGCGCACTTGAATAGAAGGAAAATTAAGTTTTTGAATTTTGTTTTGAAGAAAGTTTTGCTTGAATTTCTTGATCCTTATTAACATTAAAAATTTAAAGGTTATGAGAATAACAAGCGTGTTGAGAGCTTTACCTCCAAAGTTTTTGCCTTCGAGAGACAAGATCATCTTCAGGACAAAGAAAGAGGCTTTTAAAGATTTTTGTAAAGTTTCTGGAGCCAATGTGATTTGGCAGATAGGACTAGCATTCTTACTATAGTGAGTTTTGTAAAGTATTATTTTGCTTATTCTTTACAGTGAGTTCGGTTTCCCGACGCCAGATATCATACACGATGTGAAGCGTTATATATCCCCTGACTTCGATCTTTACTGCAAGTATGGAGAATTAGCTGAGTACCGATTGGACTTTGAAAACAAGCTACGATCTATACAAAGGTTTTTCAATACCTTCATTTATCGACAATATTAAAATGAATTTAAGGGAAGAGGAAAGGTATCGTCAGAAGGGAATGGAAGAGAAGTCTCCCGAAGCGCGATTTGGAGGAATCATTTAGGCTCATAGTTGAATTTAGATAGAATTATTAGTCAACTCATAGAATATAATGAAAAAACGGGTACGAAATAAATTTATTTTTTTGTGTTTCTGTTTATAAACATTCAATCATACGATGACCATCGTTAGTTCAATTCCTATACGTCTTAACTCTCTCATTACTTTACCGTTGCTTTCAAGTGTTGAGCTTCCTAATCTCATGGAGAAAACTTCAAAGTGAGTTTCTTTTTCTGTGTCTTTTTCATTTATTATTTGTTTCTCAAGGGGGATCAGAAAGTATCACAATGATCGTGTGGATCGCTCACAAGTTAAAATATTGATGTGTTTCCATTGTGGGGAACAGTTTTCATCGAGCTCCAGTTACCAAAGACACTTGACTTATGAGCATCAAGCATTATCCCTATGCTATCAGATATATCAGAACGAGATCATATTTGAAGTACTGCCTTCAGGATTGTTCCCTTCAATCATATTTTCATTAAGAAAAATGCAAAGAAAAAAATCGCCAAAGAATCTCGGAGGACCAAGGGTGACTATAAACCAAGAAAACTTGATCCCAACCCAAAACCAGAAGGCGTCAGTTACCGAAGAGCTACTGACTCAAAACTAGGTAATCTATTTGGATTGAATTCAATACTCATTTCTTGCAGAACTTAGTTACAAAAGAACAAATGATGCGATCAAAGAAAAAAACGACGCTAAAAGGTCGAAAGTATCGAGTGAGGTCTATAAAAAGATTGAAAAGAATCCGCTCCGTAATTTTGTTGATATCCGGTATTAGTGTTCTAGTCAACTTCAGCTTTAATCGAATGATTCTTAGTTTACCTGAAAAAAGGCCGGCTCCTTCCTCAGAAACTGAACCTGCAATGAAAAGAGCTAAGGTATGCTAACACAACCGATTCTTCTGCGTTGCAAGCAAGAAATAACTTGGCGTGCACGCGTGGATGAATGACGCCATTGAATAAATTTTATGAAATGCTAATGATTTCCAGGAAGACGTTCCTGTTTATAAGAGTTACATATCAGATCCATGTCACGAGAAGTGTAATGTTTGTGAGGTATCTTATGAAGATAAAAGTGGAGAGAGCTTAGTGGATCACTGTATGTTTGAAAGTTTTGAAGCTCATCTCAGATTCTTCTTCAGACGTTAGTGAACATGGCGCCCTAATAAACACTATGAACGTTCATTTGTACAAGGATAAGAATTTTGTAAAAACAAGGGTTCGTATTCACTATCATTCATCATAACCCGAGATGATTTTCAGAACTCTCCCGCAGGAACAGTCTGCTTAATATGTGATTTGAAGAAAATAGATACAACCACAGAGTACAGCTTAAGATACTCAAGCGCTTTCCAATCCTCATGTTTCAGATATTTTCATCATTTAATACAAACGCATCTGGATATGCTAGTCGATAAAATGAGTAAACAAGGAGAAATAGATAGTTTGGTTATTGAAATGGAACTGTCACTAAGGTTTTACATGATGTTTCAAGTATTCTAATTTCAATGCCTGTTTTCAGTAATGGAGCTGTCGTTCCCATCAAGATACTCATCCGAACTTTGAAAAATGCATTATAATAAAGCTTGAACCCCTTTTTCTATGTGGTGAATCTCCTGAAATGTATCATAACTTTTACCTCGTTTATTATTTTTCATTTATTCATGTATGTATAGTAATAAATCTAAGCTCTCTTAATATCTCTTTTCCAGATGAATATCATCTTACCCAACTTTTCAGTAATTTTGACAGATGACGAAGTTGTTGATTTGCTCTTCCACATCTGCTCGCTGTGGCAGACAGAACGTAATATAGTTCATTGGTGTCGACCATTCAAAATACAGAAGTAAGATCTCCTACTGAGCTTCCTACAATCTTCTGCTGTTCATTTGAGAGCTCCAATAGTTCCCGAAGAGTTTCTTTTTGATCCTATAAGACTCAAAAGAATATATTTCTATTATGGAAGTCAGTATGCCATGCAGACGGCTGCTGAAACCGCAATGGATGTTGAAAACAGAAGAAGATCGGATAATGTTATTGTAAGTTAAGCTCTCTTCGGCTCATTTCTGGTCTGTTAGGTGGAGTTTCCGGACGTAACGCACAAAGGAGCAGTAGCTGCCTTTTTGGCAATTCTATCTCAGTTTTCGAAAAACGATCGGAAATCAGTAGTGATACTGAAGAAGGAAGTGAGTGATTGGCTAAACAGCTCGACTGTATGAAAGATTCTCATAGGAAATGTATCTGAATACAATTTCCATGTATACGCCCAATATCTTTGAGTTCAAGGAAGGCAATCTGGTGCGTCTTGTAGAATGATGGAAGAACAGAAAGGTTTTATAAAACTTTTATTTAACTTTTTTTTCTTTTGAAGGGTTCGCCCGTTTACACGCATGCACATATAAAGTCTTTAGAGAGGCAGTAGCTGCCTAATAAAATAAGTGAAATAACGTAAGTGATATTAGGAAAATGCACATATAAGGTAAAACAACAACTCTGAGTTACAAATGGAAGAAATCACCCTTTTCAAATATACACAGTTAGACAATCTATATGAGCACCTGTGCAGAATAACTCTGAAAGAACTTGAGCAAGAGGTGCTTTTGGTCTCTTTGAAATATGTCATGGATCAAATTTAAAATTAATAATAAAACGAATTAAAGATCTAACTGATTTTACAAACACATTTACATCCGCGATTGAGCCCACTGTTCTCGTTCGTGTGTTAACTGAGCTCTATGAAGTGATGGTTCTCCAACTCGCTTTCGTTTGAAGAAGCCACACTTCCATAAACATAATACGAAGAGTAAGAGAATGAAAAGTCCGGCTGCAACGGAAGCTAGAATAATCCACAGAGGAATAACTACGCCTGTAAAGAAAGGAGATTGTAAATCATATAGTCAGCGACAGCTTACCGATAGCTGGCCGATCGGGATAAGCTATGGTTTTGATATAAGCAATGTTATTGGAAGGATCATCCTCGATTCCCTCTGTGCTATCCAATATTATTTTTCCTGACGAAACTACTTCCACATAAGCTACATCATAGTAATCCTGTGTTTGGAACGAATGTTATTAACAACTTTATTTAAAACTCACGTCGACGAACGATGAATTCCATAACCGAGCCCGGAAGTCTATCACCGGAGCAGAATTAGCATCAATGAAATCAAAATGACAAACAACGTTGAAGCATTTGGCGGTGTTATCCACACAGCTCTGAAACAGGAAGTTTATTGAAATTAGAATTCAGCGGAAGAGGCGCGTTTTCACTTGCAATTCACGCGCACTTTACACGCGACTCAATCTCATTTTCAAAATGCTCGCCTTGAGAGCCGGTTGTGTTGCGGAGCTCGAAAACTTTTAAACGCTTAGTTTTTACTCTTACATCTTTGTTATTGTTTTTTTTCAGGAAAAATAAATAACTCACTATAGTGACGACGTCAATGTCATATCCACTTTCAAATCGCTTCTTCGGTTCGACTCGATCGCGGCCGAAACTTGCAGTAGCAAGCGTATTCTCGACGACAGATCCGGCATCTCTCTGCAAAACGAAAGAAGTTAGTTTATTTTAGTATCAGGACTATACCTTCGCGCGTTTGTCATGTTTGTCTTGTCTGGCGGGAATAGTTTCTTGGGAGGTATACTTGGTATTAAGTTTGATATCCATTGGGTTGATGTATTCCAGTTTCCTTTCTACGGAACATCTTAAGCGACTATCTTATATCTGTCATCTAGATGAAGTACTCACCGTCTTATTTCTGTTGTTCCATCAGTATTGTGCATAGTAACTGTTGGCACATCCAAAAGATATAAACCCCATTTCTTCTTAGAACCCTCTGATGCTATCTGATACGGCCACTGGAACTCGGCTCGTACATTTCTCACTGTCCATGGTCCCAAGTTGTGAACTGTGTAGTTATGACGGATCATGAAACCGATGTCTTCTTCTAGTTCTATAGCGCCGTTATTCTGTCCTCCATATAAAACGAAAGATGGTTCACTGATACCGATCAGCTCGAGTTCTGCTTGCTTTATGATTTGAACTTCAGTGGTCCACTCATTGTCTTCTGCAAAACAAGATTAGTTTCTGTTGAATCAGTTGAAAAACTATACCTTTGTTAGTATCGACTGATGTAGAGTTCACAAGAGCCGAGAATACCAGAGGTCTTCCTATACCCTCAGTACGACCACGTACGAGTTTCAAACGGATGTCGAATTGATGCTAAAGTTGATTATATTTTTATTATATTTAGCATTCAATTATGTAACATACCTTGGCCTTTCCATCCATGGGATTTCCAAGGTGTACAACTACATAGTTCTTTCCTACAGTTTCAAACGTGAGCTTCTTTGATCCTTCAAAGAACATTTTGATTGATTTACTTAACGTTTTTATTGCATACCAACAACTGTTGGTAACTCCAATTCTTCCGGATCAAACTTGAGGTACATAGCTGCTTGATAAGCCTTCTCTCCTTTGTTTTCGACTGTCACAGAAATGTCTAGATGGTCTCGGTTACCAACATTCATAACGTATCCTTTCTCGGTTCTAAAATATTTGAGCTTAGAGTTATGCTCAGTTCACAATTTCATACTTTGGAATTCCAGCAAATACAGCACGTAAAGAGAGATCAGAGTTACAGACATGGTCATCTCCACATCTAGTGTTGAATGGAATCTGTAAGAGATTAGAACTTTGTTTCTCTGCTTTTTGTTACCTGGAACTCATAACTCGCTCCGTATTTGTTAAGTATTGGGTATTGTCTCAAGTCAGTTACAGGTCTTCCTTCAATAGCTTGTGGTGGTGTTCGTTCGTTCTATAGGAAGGATAAACATCATTCTCATGAAGTTTTAACAAACCATTATTCTAACTGTGAATCGGAATTTGAGTGGATTAATCCAATCTTTCGAAACGTCATCGTCCTAAAACGGTTTTAGATAAGTAGGATTTTGATGGTGCTCTCATCAACAATAACAACAACAAAAGCTCAAAGTTTTGCAAACATCAAACAGAAAGCAACAACTCGTAACCCACTTTATGGTGGCGAAGTTTGTGTGCTTGCTATAAGGATTTATATAATAGTTTATGATTTTAATACTCCCAGTTCTAATGAAATGAACATCACGCTTACCGGTATGTAGATTGTCTCTCTATATACTCGTTTGTTATTATGAGCTCCTTTACCGCATGGCCAACTCATATTCGTTGAATGGTTGCCTTCGATTAGGGCTCTAGTACGGAATTGTTTGGATGTCGGTATAACCTTAATGAATGGTTACAGGATCAGCAAAGCTGTAAATGTTACCTCGAGGTTACAAGTAAACACGTCGGCTGAAAAATCTATCAAATCCGCTCCTCGTTTACTCTCCGCATCAACAAAAATTTCCAATTTCAATGGGAAGCAAGTTTTTGAACCGCGAGGACAGTTTGAACCTTTCTCAATGTCTACGTACTCTGATTCTGTTTTGTGGCTTGCTACGATGGAAATAACAGGGCGAGATCTAAAGCAGAGAATAGGTTTATATTTTGATGACTATTCGAACCTCAAAACTGTTATTGAGTTCTGTAGAACTGAACCAACAACTAGATCGGGGTATCCATTATTGTCTACATCCATTCCACCGGAGAGAGAAAAACCAAACGATCTTATCGGTTCTTCACCCATGTTAGGTAACTGAGAACCGTCGATAATCTGAGATATGCTTTACTCCTCCATCACTAATGTTTCTAACAAACCTGTGCTGGTTTTCTTCTCATCTTTTTCGGACTTTTAGCTCCCAAGAAGATATAAACACTTCCTGAACCATCGTTCGAATACGGTGCTCCTACGGCAAAATCTTGATAGCCATTCTTATCTCCATCCAAATTTCCTAATTTGGTTATTGCAAGACCGAATTGAGAAAAATGGGGAGGTCCTTTGAGAACTACAGGAGGATGGAAAACCAAGTGGGACTCAGACTTGGCACGTTGTATTCCCTGAGAGAAATATACATACACTATTCCTCCGAAATGACCATCAGTGTCAGAGCGATGTTCAAACGGAGCTGACACGACCAAGTCGTCAAATCTGAATTATTCAAGCTATAGGATGCGCATCAAATTCCAATAACTCACCCGTCGTTATTAATATCTAAAACTGCGGTGGAATATCCAAACGCAGAGCCCATCTTTGTTCCATTCAGAACAAAATGATCTTCAACCGGGCCCAATGTATCTGAGTGATCCTGAAATTCACCAATGAATAATGTTTTTAAATGATCTCATTACCTCATTGTTGAATGGCAGGAAAAGAACAGCTCCGTGCTGACCAGAACGAGTTGCTCCAGATACGATGGTTTGAGAACCTTTTCTACTTGGATCTTCATACCTAAATCAAGATATTAAAAAGCATTGGTTTGTGATTCAACTTACCAAAAACCGAAACGACCGACATTCACCGAATAGCCGAGGTAATCATGACTTGTGAGCATCGATCTGATACCTTCCCTATCCTATAAGCAACAAGTTTGATAAAAATTTTCAAACATAAAATTTGTAATTGTGACTTACCCCACTGGCCATGGTGTACTTCTCTTTACTATCACCGAATGGATCTCCTTCTGACCATTTGGCGAAAACTCCTCCTGTCCATTTGAGTGCTCCAATAACACCAGTGATTATTGTGTTCTACATGAGGTATAAGCAGGATATCTTGAATATATTTACTCACATTGGTTATAGTGGCTGATATTCCTTCCATGCAACCTCCGAATTCATTGTGACGCAAGCTTTTGGGTACGTTCTTTTGCATACATGTGGAATATAAGGCTAAAACGATGTTACATATTCTATTCATGTCATTTCAATCTACTTTTCATCCTCAAATCAGTGTCTAACTCGTAGCAAGCGCCTTGGACGTAACCACTCATGTTGTGGAATCGCGTTAATGGAGAGCATACCTCAAACAGAAATGTTAACTGATCGCATTATGAGTTTATCACTTACAACAGCGTTTCCTCCTTTGACGGCTTGAGATGCTACGACAGCTCCTAACAGTTGTCCATCTTTTCCTAAGTAATGGAATTGTTTCCCTTGGACAGAAGTCATGTCGGGTGTTTTCGAATAGCCACTCTCTTCTTCATATTCAGCATTTACAAGAGAGCACCTAAAGCAGTTGTTGTATCATGTTGTTTTGATGATGACGCCTGACCATTCTTTTCCTCCCTTTTTCGAATGCGTATTAATAGGACATGAATAAATGGCTCCTGCTTGTGTTGTTCCAACTTGTCTGGATTGTGCTCTTGGAGCTCCAACAAGAATTCTTAAAGAATAGATAGTATAGATGGGAAGAGTGTTGATCAGACTTACACTGATTTGTCTCTGGAGTAATGTTGAGCAACTGAATAACCAAAATATGAATTTTCTGGTCCGAACTTATTAAGTGGTGAATGAATGTCAATATTGAAAGTATATATAATTTGTATAAATAAGCTAATAATAAAAGCTCTAGTTAATGACATGGTGTTCGCTTAAAACGATGTCTATGGTTGTGCGTGGATGGCAGAAGCAATTCGTTCGGTTCGAAATGAGTTAAAACATGATAAATCGAATCCGAGATGATTTCTCTGAAAAGACACAACGATGAATGGATTTACAAATGTTGTTCTCGAGAACGAAGTTATCACATCAAGGTAATGATTGTGAAACGAAGAAAAGCGAAAAAAGCTATAAACATTTAACAATGATTCATCAACGGAAAGATATGATAGTTTTTTTCTGTATGTGAGAACGAAACTGCTTGTGGGCTAGCCCAAAGAGGGCGGCGTTGGTTAGGTGTCAGAGCGTCAAGAAATCAGAATCGATGCTTAGTTTTAGATCTAACATATGAATAGGCACTTTGTCATGAACTGTGAGCTTCCGTTTATGGAAGAAAGACAACAACTTGTAAAATTGCAGTGTTTTGGTGAAATATAACGTTAGATGAATCAGAAACCGTAGGCGTTTACTCAATCATCAACAACGGACGAAGGCGATGAATGAAAAGATAGATGGGCAGATGATTAGAGTATGATTAAACAAATGCTTGAATAGCAAAAAAAATGAGGAGAGGAGAAAATGCAAGTAAATCAGAATATGGCTTATGACCTAATGTGTAACGTTCTGGGAGAAAAGTTCACGGAGTTTAAAATTGTGGTTCTTTTAAGGCAACTTCAAAGGACCATCCTCTCACACATTCATCGCTTTTTTTAATCTTCAACTTGGAAGTGGTTGAATAGTTTCTCTGATGTTTTGCAACGAAAACGTCACTCCATATTCAAATCAATAGGAAGAGTTCATAATCGATCGATCATTTTTGAAAAATTTGATTGAACTGTCAGAAAACAGTTTGAATGTTATGTGAAAACTGTACAACTATATATGTATGGAAGAAAATATCTTATACAATACAAAACAAATTGAGGCAACTACTAATCAGAATCTTCTTTGATGACCGAATTATCACGTAAAGGTCATCTGAGGCCTCAAATGAGGGGAGACTCTCTTTATCTGTCTCGATCCTGATCATCTTAAGTCTTTCTTTCATAACGCGTTGTTTCTTCGGGTTGATGCGACGCGTGCGCGCTGCGGAGGCACTTACATGGCCATGCAAGGAAGAACTGTAGTTATTGGCTAGGTCAACCTCGGATCATAGATGAAAGACTAGTTTGAAGTGAGATGTCACCACTATGAATATGATGCATGCTTGACCGAGCTGCAATAGCGAGATTGAACATGCTGGGTGATTGCAGAATTGCCTCCTGTGACACACACACAGGGCAAGGAAATGAGATTGGAAGCATACGAGATTGACCTCAGAAGTCTGTTGCGTTTCCATGTTGCCATCTTCACGCCGTTTCCATATGAGACAGATGGCTGTGTTTTGGTTTAAGCGAAGAAAGATGAGCGAAAAGAATAGATAAGAGCTAACTGAACAGACGGAATGGATCGCCAATGAGTACAAGAAGTGCTACAGCAAAGAGGCTTTAGCTTCGAAAGTGACGACGAAACATACGTTTTGAAGAGAAATCAAATAGTGCATCTAGCTGGATGTTTCAGCTCCAGATATCCCTTAATCTACTTCCTTAGTTGGGGATGGAAGTCTGAAATCGGGAAAAAGGCTGCTGTGAGTTATACTAGATGATGAAATTATATCTTCAGACTAGAAACTGATGGCTGAAAAGCAATATGACCAGCAATGGAAATCGATGCTTTTGACGACAAAGGACACATACGCTTACGAATAAGATATGAGAAAGCTTCTTTGGGTCAGAAAAGTTTGAGCAGTAACTAATCTGTGGCATTCATCCATAAAGAGAAGCATAAGGCGATTTTATGTCTAGTTGGAGGGCAACTTCCCAAGCTCAAATAGAGGTTTCATTTACGAATTTGAACAATTGCTATGAATAGTTCCGTTGAAACGTTGAGATCATTATGCAAATCATTTAACGCAAGACGATTTGACGCCTTGTCTTCAAAAGAGTCGCCGATAGAAGCTTGATGAAGCGAAGCTTAATTGCCAAAGCTCAAGATCTATTTTCGTTTTAAATATACGAACTCTCTCTCATTCTCTTTATAGATATTATGGAAAAGGAAAAAGCAAGGAATTCTGCTGATCGAAACAGCCAGCCACATACCACACTGACTCGGTCATCATTGAGTTTTTGGACATAAAAAGCCATAAAATGTGAAACATAAAAGAACAAATGATGAATGGATCCGTGCCTGAATAGATGACTGAAGCAGTTAAAGTCTGCAATATTGAGAAGAAGAAGAAGAAGAAGTCCATGTTTGGAATTAAAATATTTCAACAACTTCATGCAACAGATGGCCTAATCATGGTAATACCTCTGTCATTTTAATCATTTTTGAATTTACAGCTGTCTCAGTAAATGTCTTATAAAGCATAAAACATTGTCATCAATCGAACAGACCATAAGGAAGACAAATTAATATTTACAATCTTAGCGAACTGTTTGTTTACCATATATGGGGGACTTTCTACACATACATACACAAATCAAAAGATATCTCACAGATACTCTTCCTTTATTTTCTTGTTTTCAAAAATTCGGATTTAGATCTCAAAATGTCCAACACAAGCAAAGGAGAGAGAGTACGTGAAAACGAATACGCAATGGTATATGACGATAATCATCTTTCGAGATCTGGCTCGAAATGCTTTTTCGCAATAGCTATGATGGAAATTTATTCCGTGTTATGCTTCAATGATGATGAGTTTAAGCTGAAGACGAAAACATGATTGGAAATAAGGGAGATAATCAGTTTTTGATGAAGACAGCAAAAAAAATGATTATGTGTGGACCTACGTGGCAGTCTCTGTAATTATAGACAGCGTTGACTCTCAGAGCGGTTGCATTCAAGTTGATTAGAGAGTAAGTTTTAGATATGTTAGAAGTGTTGAAGGGTAAAACATAAATGATAATTGTATGAGATTCATATGGAAGCTGACTATGCTAAGCTAGTGATTTGAAGTGGATCGATCGATGCCGTATTTGTAATGGGTCAGACCTAACAAGAGCGACATCTAGGTTTACCTTATTTGCTTTACCGAGGTCGCTGGGCTTTTGATATCCCAATACACAATTAGTTTGGAGCCCGACTACGTCCATCTTGGCATACTCAGTAATAATCAAGCATAAATTGAAGAAATGAAGACTTACAACGTCAAGTACAGAGAGGAAGAGAGAGAGAGAGAGAAAGAAAGAAAGAGATGTAGAAAACAACAATAAGTTCTTCATTTTCATAATCTGTTTTGATCAATTCCAAAACATTTTTATAATGTTCAAAGCACATAATGAAAATCGTTTTTTGTTTCAAAAAGGTTCTCACTCTTCTCTCCCTCTCTCCCTCTCTCTCTCTCTCTATCCACCTCTCTCTCTCTGACACTCTTAAAACTGTAACAACGGAAGACTTTGGTTGTTTTTAATTGGATTTGAGAAGGTTCCGACGCGCTACATATATTGAAAGTTCAAATGAAAGGTTATGTATTGGAGGACTGGGAAGAAGTATGTAAATACCGAATACCCTCTCTCTCTCTCCCTCTCTCTCATATCGTCTTTCTATCTCTTCTATAGCTAGTTATCATTAAACCATTTTAAGCCTCTCAGATTTCAATAATTATAATTTATCGGAAGGTTATAACAGTTTAGATAAGAATCTATAGTTTACATAACTAACTATAGAAATATCAATTTAACTCTTTGACAGTTGATCATCGTACACTAAACTCCTTGATGATACGATCTGATGTTTCTTTGTCTTTCATGTTTGATCATCACTTTCTCATATCTTTCATGAGTTTTTTTAAATTTCAATATTTTTGAATAAAAAAACATGTAATTTGGTTAGTTGTAGAGAAGGTATCGCATGTGTGTAAATCACGTCTTTCATCAGCGGTCTTTCAGTACTCTCTTGATTATATAGTTATTTGAGAGAAGAAATGAAAATTTAAACATATCAGCTTATCTGATGTCTCTATTATCATCATGATTTCCAGTTAGTTGCTTCTTGGCTCATCTCCCCTGGCAACCATTGGCTCGCTCTCTTCCTCCTTTTTCTCTCTTTCATTTCATATCTCTCTATCTTTCTGTCTTTTCTTTTTAGCCGTAAATGCTGGGGGTGGAGAGGGAGGTGGCTTGCTGGTAGTCGGACGAGCAAGGCTATCAGAAGCTCACCTTGCCTATTTCATATATTTCTCATTTCTCTATCATACTGCCATAGCCTCTCTAGCTGTTTATGTTCTTTTTTTGTAGTCAAATGCACATATTTCCTCTCCATTTTTTTTGAGTTCTCTAGTTATGTGATTTCCAAATTTGAATGTTTATTCAACTCATCAGTCAATCACGCTCTTTCAGCAAAATTTCCATAGCCTCACCTCTCTTGATCTATTCAAACTTTGCGTTCTATTCCCTCCAGGACTCTCTTTCTCTCTCTTTCTCTCTCTACATCTCTCCCTCTCTCTCTCTCTTCACTTCTTGCTAACATCATCCCGTTCATCAGTTTAATTCATTACTCAATCCCTTCTTCATCTTCCTAGCCATTCAAATAGTAGACTTTTTTCGAAGAAAAGATTTCATTCATCCAAATCTTCAAGAGATATCGCAGTTCTGTTTTCATTTATTTCTAATCTGATTATTCTATAAGAATTTTTTGCTGTTTACACGTCCAACATTTTCAATTCGCCCATCATCCGCATCTCAAATGATGTTAAAACTAATTTGAATTAACAACTTTTATGTTTTTTTTCTTTTTCATCGCTTCCTTCTTCATTTCCATAAACTCAATTCCAAATATAGCATTCTGCACTCTAATTCGACTAGTAAGATGGCATAACATGTAGTTACGTGCTTCCGCATCATCTTTATTAAGAAATTTTAACGGACTTTCTGAAAGCATTTAGAACGAACATGTAGCCTTCATCCTAATAAATTATTTCTTCTGTTTCAGTGTATTGACTCACCCGAATCTGCAGCCATGGCTAAGCTTGCCTTCTAGCATATAGCTCACACCTGTTACCGGTTTAATCCGATAATCTTGGGACTTGAGGTCTGAAATGGCATCGAACCCAACCGAACCTGCACCAGCCGTATGTTCTGTGATGCCAGCTTATCTGAAATCCATTCTTTTTTTTAGACACAACCTGCTGTTACAGAAGATTCCCCACCACCACAGCCTCCACCAGCACCAGCACCATCTGCAATCCCGAACGGCACTCCTGCCGCTGCAGAAGCTGTGCTCAATGCTGCTACTCTACCTAATGGCTCTATTCCTGATACGAATGTTTCATCCACTGCAGCCAAATTATCTATAATGAGCAAAGTCAATATCTTTCCATCGATCCACCCTTACTGTTAGCTTTCAGTTATTGACTAGAAAAAACAAAGTGCACGACGCCACATATGCCGAACGCACGAACGCCCAACAAGAATTTATGCAGAAATTTTCTGGTCCAAACCAAGCTCCTGTAGAAGATAATCCTGACGCACAACCATCTGAGCCGGAAGGTGCTGTTTTTTTTTGTATATTGACTTCAATTATTATAGTTTGATTATTTTAATCTTCTGTTTCAATGTAGTCTGCTCCATTGCGAATTTACAAAGGTTCAAATTAGCATAATTGAGCGTCTTTCATTTTGCGCGTTGAAATTATCAGAGCAGGTTGTTCATGATTGTCTGTTTAAGGTTTCTATCAAAGATGGAAAAAGAAGTACTCAACTTATGTAATCGATCCTTCGGAAGATAGTTATTATTATTGGACCTTAACGGTAAGCTGTCTGAGTATTAAGCTAATGATCTCGTTAATTGGAAGGTGTCTGTTGCTTATGCTTATAATCTCGTGGTAGTTATTGCTAGACAAGCATTTCCGGATATGATTGGACCTAGAGGAACGTATAGATGCTTTCTTAAAAATGGTTTGAATGATAATGCTACAAGACCGTGTCGAGAAAGTGATGATTATTTACGAAACATGAACGTATGTCATATTCAAATTGATATCTCTCTCACTGATTGCTCGTTATAGCGAATGCCTTTCTTAGAACATGATTTATCCGCTGGCTGGCGAGAATATTGGTATGTTCGCTTGATTTGGATATGTTTGGATCTTATGGCTGATTCTGTATATCTGATGGACATGTGGATTAGGGGTCGCACAGGTACCACTTAAGACATCATTTCAAGAATTCGATTTGTCTGCTTTCAGGTTACCTCGAGCAGGGGCTTGTTGTAAAAGACACAGACCAAATTTGGAAGCGATATAAAGTATGCTTCCAATACAAACTAGACCTTTTTAGTATGATTCCCCTTGATTATTTCGTCGGTGAGTGTTTTTTGATGACTTTCATGAATGATTGGAGTATAGGCTGGCCTGTGCCTTTTTCTCCGATACCGTCTTTGCCCATTCTGCGGTTGAATCGTTTAATACGGATCAATCGAGTTAGTGATTGGAGAGAAAGAACAGAAACCAGGTTTGATATAAGCTGAATATGAGTCAAGTCATTTTTAACTTTTACAGAAGTAGTATACCAAATGCGTTCCGGGTAGTATGTGTTGTTATCTACATCATTGTTATAATCCACTGGAATGCTTGCCTTTACTTTGGAATATCGGAATGGATAGGATTAGGCTCTGATGGGTGGGTGTATGGTAATTTGAACAAACAGAGTTTGCCAGAGTAAGTTGCATCATTGAAAACATGATGATCAGATTGATTTAAGTGATGTTATGGACACGCTTATGCGACGTTACATTTACAGCTTTTACTGGTCAACTCTTATATTAACAACTATTGGTGAAGTGAGAGTTTTTCATGTTATAATTGCAAGATTTGCCATAATTACCCAACTAATTTCCTTGCACTGGATGACTTTGTTTTTGAATTTAGTCGATTATTAAAACAGCGGATATTGGGTGAATTTCTCTCTGAACCAACAATTTCCGCAAATTTATTGCGCTTCTTCTCCAAACGGAGTAACAATGGTTGAAGCTAATCTCTTCCCGTTCGCGAATTTGATCTCAATGAGTTGATCCGATTCTGAAAACACTTATCCAAAAACAGAAAACTACATAAAGAAAAAGTCAAAAATGCATTTTTTCAGGTGCCTGGTCCAGTTCTTAACCTCGAGTTTCTTTTTGTTACTGCTGACTTGATGTGCGGTGTCCTCATTTTCGCTACCATTGTCGGAAACGTCGGAAGGTAATTAGAAAACAGTTTAAACGAGCTTATCGTCTGTTGCAGTATGATTTCTAATATGTCTGCTGCACGAACAGAATTTCAAAACAAAATGGATGGTATAAAACAGTACATGGAGTTGCGGAAAGTTAGTAAACAGGTATTTCACTGAACTGAGTCTTGATTTCAAACAATGCTATGTTAAAGCTAGAAGCTAGGGTTATCAAATGGTTTGATTATCTCTGGGCCAACAAGCAATCTCTATCTGATCAACAGGTTTTGAAGGTGAGCACTTCATATCTAAATTTGAAATCGAAAAACAATACTCGTTCAGGTGTTGCCAGACAAATTACAAGCTGAAATCGCTATGCAAGTTCATTTTGAAACTCTCAGAAAAGTTAGAATTTTCCAAGTAAGCTTAGACTCTGGAGACCATTTTACATTCCGAATTAGGATTGCGAGGCTGGTTTATTGGCAGAGTTAGTGTTAAAGCTTAAGCTGCAAGTCTTCTCGCCTGGTGATTACATCTGCCGCAAGGGTGATATTGGTAGAGAGATGTATATCGTTAAACGGGGAAAACTTCAAGTTGTCAGTGATGATCCAGTGAAGGTTTTTGCAAATTCTTGAAATGTCTGCTATGAAAACTTTTATAGGTAAAAGTGTTTGCTATTCTACAGGAAGGCTCTGTATTTGGAGAGCTGAGTATTTTGAACATAGCTGGTACGAAAATTGTATTTTTTGTTTAAACAATTAATTCCAGGTAGCAAGAATGGAAATCGTAGAACAGCCAATGTTAGATCTGTCGGCTATACAGATTTGTTCGTTTTGAACAAAAACGATTTATGGAATGCACTTCGAGAATATCCAGATGCAAGAAAACTGTTGTTGGTGAAAGTGAGTATCACTTTCGTCTTGGATTAAATCAACTCCATAATAGGGTCGAGAGCTTCTACGGAAAGATAACTTGCTTGATGAGAATGCGCCAGAAGAACAACAAACTGCAGAAGAATTAGCCGAGCAACTGAACAATCATGTGAAAGTGTTGCAAACCAGGTTCATTTGTCGTCGAAAATAATATTCTGTTCTTGCTCTTTCTCAGAATGGCTCGTTTAATTGTCGAACACACTAGCACAGAAACGAAGCTCAATAAACGTATCGAAATGTTGGAAGTCCAGCTTAGGAAGTGAGTTTCCTCATTAGATTTACACTCTCAGGACAGTTGCTTTCCGCTGTGCTTGTTTTTTTTAATTTCAAATCTCAAACTTCAGATATCGTAGCTTTGCTCGAAGACAAAAAAGTTTGCAAGCTAGCTCTTCAGTAGATAGAACGCTGGATGATGATGATGATGTATGAAGTTTTTCAATTCACATATACACATTTATAAAATCTCAATTTTTTACGGATTCTTTATACTTCCTAGAATTCTTCACAAACGGGTTTTTTAGTTATTCTTTCTTATCAAGATTAAGCTTCAATTGCTCTTTAAACTTTTATCCATGTTAAGCATTTCATGAAATTCACTCCTTTCCTTGTTCGGAAACTTATAATCAGTATTATTGTATTATGATTGCTCGCCATTCTTTCTGAACTTCTGTTGAAATGTAGTGATTATCTTGCGATTTATATATACTCATAAATTAGTTTTTTTTAATCGTTGAGATTGACCATCAATATCTCCTTTTCTATATATTTCTTTTGCCGATGTTCTATTAGAGAATATTGATGACGTTAAGAAGCCTCATGAGAAGACATTCATGTAAGAAATTCATCTTATATATGTAAAATCGGTCATATCTTGCTGCATCTTGTTGAGCTTGTGATATATGCCCGAATCGAACAAATGGATCACACCAGGAATTCTACGCAAATTCCAGCCATATCGGTGAGCTAATTACTTGTTGCTTCATAAATGATGATCTCTATTCCAGGCGCGTTTTCCTACTTATTGCCGTAGTTTCGATATTCTTCTCCGTTCTCATAATTGTTGAAAATATAATATTCTTTGCTGTCAATACGCATCAGTAAGATCTTTTTCAACAAATCATTAATCTTTCTTTTTCACATCAGACACCTTCTAATTCTACTGCTGCCTTATCTGCTCAGCTGGTTACTCGTTATACTGGGCTGCTTGTTTGCTAGAATAGCCTATATTCTTTATAAATCTCGCATTAAACAATTCAGTATGTTATTATGTTGCCACTTGATTCATAGTCTCGTGTTTTAGCTGCTGTTCGAGCCCATTCTCCGACAGCTTGGACAGTTGATAGTCGTCCCGTGTCTCCATCTGTGAGCTTTCATCCAAAAAAAGAAATGATATGAGCCCCTGCATATTTTAGATTGCTTCCCCCGCAACTGAATCCGCGTTATCCCTTTCTTATAATAGCGTTTTACTTCGTCAATCTTTGACATTGCCTTCTTCGCCCTTCTTCATATCAGACGGCTTGTTCAGGTAACTCAATGTACATCTTGTATGCATCCTAACCAATTGAATTAGGTATCAAGACGAGCCACCCTCATATGAAGATGTAGTACAGATGAGAGCCTCACCGCAACCTCCGAGAAGCACAACGCCAGTGGCGTGAATGTATGTTCTTCTTTGATTATTTTGTTTACAATGCGATGAAGAAGAGAAGATTCTTATTTATTTTGAAACATCATTGAAACCTTTCATGTCAAGGGTTTTGTTTTTAATCAAATATTTGAAACATATGATTAGAGATAGGAGAGATAAGTATGTTTTGAGCTTTCATAACAAAAGAAACTAAAACAACAATTACTTGTGAATGTTTTATAGGCTTATAACTTATAATCTACGCGGAATTCTCTCATGTGGATGCCATTGTCATCTCTCGCTACACAGTCATAGAGACCTGCGTCAAGAATCCTTGTAAGTACCAGTTGTAAGCGCGAAGACACTCCATGTCGGAATCGTTCCGTTTTAATCTGAAAACAAAGTGATTATAATATGTCAATTAATAATTAACCACCACTGTTCTATGATCATTGGAGAGTTGAACTCCATTCTTATACCAATTGATTTGAGGACTGTATAGGCCTTCCGCCTCACAATATAACTTCAGTGGGTATCCTAATTTGAACGTTTGCTTTAATAAACTATGTCGAATGATATGCGGTCCCTGTAATCATCTATTTCATAATCTAGTTACATGACTACATTTCTTTGAATATACCTTGCTCGTTTTTGCAAAATAATATTTGTCTTCAATAGAAGCTAAGGTGAGATGAAGAAGCGTCGCTGAAACCATGGCCACTGTCAGCATTAACATGATGTTCGCATTGATGAAATGTCTTAGACGAAATCTGAGCAAAGCAATTTTTGTGTGAAGAAGCAAGTATGTGTGAATGTGTGTTTTCAAGAAATTTTTCGATAAGTTATTGAAGTTTCGTGCATTCTAATAGCCGACAGACATAAAAGGAAATTGAATAACGAAAAGTCTGGGAAACAGAGGACAGCTGAGTTGAGTTGCTCTTCACTCCTCAACAACGCAGACTATAAATGGAAAAAAATGGTTGAACTTTTTTTTTTCTTGCTGATTCTTCAACTCTTGGCTCTTTATTTTTTCAGGAAAAGAGACAAGGCATAACGGCAGATAGCCATGTATGTGAAAGAGCTTTAATTCCACATCTTTCTTGCTTCTTAAGAATCATAATCCTACTTGTCATGTCAAACAAGATGTACTGGCTTTTAAGGCAAGTTGAAGACGACGCTCTTTATTTTGGTAATCGAAGCGATTTGCAGGGAAGTGAGTGAGGGGGACAACACACACATCCATTACAAGCTGAAGAAAGTATGCTCAAACGACGTAGGTGAAAAAATGAAGGTGGGAGAGAAGCATTAATACAAATCATAATATATTCAGGATCTTGTGTAATTCTATGCCCATATCGGATGCATTCGCAATTCTCTTGCATTCCTAACAATAACAAATAACAAAAAGCAAAATGAATATCTTACCATAAGAAAAAAAAGAAAAAGAAATAGAATGCTTAACAAAGAGACGCTTTCAGTCAAACATAACTTGTGCTAACAGCTTTAATTCTCCTGGGATGTTTGAATATTAATTCACTTTACGCCTTTCTGCTATAATTCACTAACAATTCTCACTAGCTTATACAACCGACTTTAATTTATGAAAAAAAAGAAAAGAAGGAGGAAGCAGGCAAAACGTTTTTCTGCTCCATCAAATGAGATGCTACTACAAACAAATTATTAATACAAATATAAATATTTTCAGATCAGAACCCGGATTGTGTCTCACATTGATGATTAAGTGTGGCTGGCAGATCGATTATAAATGAAATTTTTGGAATATAAAGTCATCTAGCGATCAGTCTCACGACTTGAAAGAACCGTTTCGGAACGAATGCGAATGTCATCATCTTGTGGTTCTGTAATAAGGTAATATGTATGGCTATTCAGAAAATACAACGTACTCAATACCACAGGAGGTACAGACGTTCCAAATGCGCCATCAGGCAAATTTCCATTTGATGATCCTATGTTACTACGTACACCCCCTGAAAATTTAAATTCTTATTTAGAGGAAATGAACCGGATAAGCAATTCAACCGTTCGCCATCAAGAATGAATGATAAATGGTTTTCAATGGGAGCTTTCACGTGGCTCAATGTTATTCCACGGGAATTTTTATGCTAATGAAGATGTAAGTGATTACCAGTTATGTAAATCTGACGTGTTACAGGTGTTTCAGCTGGTAATGATTGAGCATTGTATCGTAATGGACTGAAAGCATGTGATTTTTATGAGCTAATAGAGTTTTTGATCTTTCTTACATTACAGAAGTTGACGATAATTGTGTTTGCATAGCTTCACGTGTATTATCGCTGGTTTGAGATCGGATTCGATCATTAGGATTTGAACTTTGATACAAGGGCGGAGGACATGCCGAGTCATTACTAAACAGCTGTTCGTAACGAGGTGGGGGCTCCGGATAGAATTCTATTTCTAAAACAGCAGATGCTTGAAAGTGCACAAAATTGCTGGAAATAAGAGAAAGGTTTAAACTGACCACTATTGACATCATGTTCATCCCTTTCCGCGTTCTCAGCGTCGTTTTCAGCGGTCTGATTGTCTTGTTCGCCAAGAAATAATTTGACGTAGCCGCCGAAACTTCTAAAAATAGCGGAAATGACGTTGTTTCCTGATTTCCAAGAGTCTTTACCGTTTCGAACTGCAGCAGAGTCTGATAACTTTGAGTATACAATAGAGTAGGACGATGCTCAGTATTACTACGACAGGTACGAAGAATTGTTTTTTAATATTTTTAAATTCATCTGTAATGGGGTTGAGAAACAAGTTTGAAAGAATAACAAATGAACCTCGTAAGTCTGATTCTGTTACATTTTGATTCATACTAATATAGTTGTTGAATAGAAAAATATTTATTCTAAGCTGGAATGAAAAGTAACAAGGTAGAGAATCTGGAAGTCACGCTTTGATTATTGCATTTGAGAAAGACAGAAAGACGTGAAGATAATGAAAGACTGATAAGGAAAGCTTCAGCATTTATCACATATCACAATTTCAACTTTGGAACAAAAAATGAAGACGAAAAGAGTGGTTGGTGGGAAAAGGCCTTCAAAACTATTCCGAATGTTTGAGTAAAACAGTTTTTTTTTTCGTGTCTCATCTCTTACAGGAGGCAACTAGGATACATGAAGAGAAGATGAGATGAGTCTCGTAAGAGTACAGTTCAATTTGATCACAAAGAATGGGATCAGAATTCATTTGGAGAAATGCACTCTGATTCTGAGCAATAAAGTATAAGCAAATACAAGTAGAAGACACATTGCGTGAAATTCAAAAATGAATTTTAGAAGAAAGTGAGAGAGAGGAGGAGAAACAGAGAGAGAGAACGAAGGAAGACGTGGGTGAGTGTGAGAGAGAGGGAAAATGATTACAAATTGCCTTTTTATATGGCTGGAAACTCCTCCTTAAAGTGAACGTTTCATTCTTGAAATCGAGCGTACAACGATGCTGTGTCAAGCGTATAGACTTCGGGATCTTCTGAAATGAAAGTTGTGAGTGTAAGAGATGCAAATGTAATCATTATTTTGCCTGGAAGTTTTTGTTTTATCATTGTGTTATCAGTCTGATTCATTGGATTTAAGCTGAAATGCATAAGAAACTGCAAAACATTCATTTCTATCCTATTTACAAACCATTTTTCATTTCTTCCACTGTCATATTCGATTTCCCTCTGAAACATTCAAAATATTTATTTTTTGTATAAACCATATCGCAAATACAATGTGTCCTGTGGGTGAGCTTTTGATGATGGTGACTCGTAGATTGCATTTATCTGTCGGCTCCATGTATGGCATATCCACACAATACACAGCTCCTTTCTGATTGTATCAATTCATTCCTTATAAACATATCATATATACACTTACTTTATGTAAATTCAATTGAGCGTTATTTGACATTTGTAATTGAAGGAACTATCACTGTCCTTCTTTCGAGACTTGTTTATGTAACGAATGAAATCAATAAATCTTTCTGTGTTCTATAAATGGAACTGTCTATTCTTACAGTATGTCATTGGCAGTCATCCAAATGACCAACGTCACTCCAATGATAACAATTATTTCTAATACTATTTCCTGTGACATACAACCGCTCTGAACTTCTGCATCGGGATAAATAACAATGCTTCACGTCATTTCACGTGTATGACGTTTAGAATGCAAAGAATTCAGTATGTATTGAAAGGTAACGTTGACATTTTCACTCGTTCACATTTGATAGTTGATGTCGTTGATCTCTAACTCTTGGGTATCAGCTAAATATAACCTAATGATCGCTGTCGTTGTAAATTGGTTCCCGACACTTTGCGTACGATCAAGCAAAATGAAAAAAATAGAAAGCTTGAAGCTTCGAAGCTTTCAAGCTGATTGTTTATTATTCTGAAATCCATGGTATTCATTCGATTAGTCTACATCGTTACACAACTTCAAATATAATTATGCCATTGCTATAACGGACGGTTCAGAACAGCGACAACGAAATCTTAACATTGTTCTTATCTTTTGTTCGTGTTGTTTTGAATACGCTATTAGTTTCCCTGAAAACTGTTTTTACAGTGTAAAGGAGATCTTCGAAATATAATAAGCCGTCTTAACTTCCCTAAAATGATTCACAACGCCGTTAGTTTTTCTTTTTTATTTTCATTTTGTTACTACTGCATGAAGAACTGAGTGTGATTCAAATTGTTCTTGGAGTGCTGGGAGACAGTCTCTAGTTTAGATAGAATTCGAGTGAAAGGTTTTTTTCTGTCCGTCCTAACCGCAATGTGTTTTTGTCCTTTCCCAATTCTATCTAATCAATTGACTTTTTCTTATCTTCAGTGTCCTTTGCTCATTGTCCATTTTGTTTTTGTATTCCATCACCCTCTCTCCATTACAGATTCCATCTTCTCTACAACATCTAGTCAGGAAGATGTCTAGCAATGCTTCTGCTTTATCTCCTATTGAACAAGCTAAGAGAGCTGTGAGCTTTTCCCTCTTCCATGCATTTTGTTATTGTTTGGATCGTTTCAGGCAGCTCTAGCCTGCTTCAAGAATCACATTAAGAGTGGAGATCGTATTGGCGTTGGCTCCGGATCTACAGTGAAGTAATCCCTCATCATCACCTTCCTTTTCTGATATTTTCTTTTAAGGTATCTAGTAGAACATATCAAGACAGGGCTCGAGTCAGGAACCTTAAAAGATATTGTTTGTGTTCCAACGAGTTTCTTAACAAGGAAATGGCTAATGGATGCCGGTATACCACTTACTGATCTTGAGATGACCCCTGAACTAGATGTTTGTATTGATGGAGCGGATGAGGTATAATTCATTTAAAATTCGTTTCTATTTGATATATTTGTTTGTTTTCAGATCGATGTTAACTTGACACTCATCAAAGGCGGAGGTGGCTGTTTAGCAAGAGAGAAGATTGTTCAATTCGCTTCCAAGCATTTCTATGTTATTGCTGACCACACCAAAGAATCCGTGAAACTTGGAGAACATTATTCCAAGATTCCGATAGAAGTAAGTATTCGATGGTAGTCGTAGTGATGAATGCTGTTGTTGTAGGTGCTTCCTTTTGCCGTGCAACCTTTGTTGAGATCGATAGCAAAGATGGAAGGAGGAGAAACTTCTCTTCGCATGGCAACCAATGTATGTGCTCCTGCCCTTACTGACAATAATAACTATATAATTGATTGGGTAAGTATATATGTTTTCAATAATAATTCTGATGAATGGACAATTCAGACATTTGATAAATCGAAAACATATGATTGGATTGGTGTCCATAATCGCATTATTAACTTACCAGGTTTGTCCATGTTTCTTAAACCGTTCACAGTTTTTGTTGTATTGAAGGAGTCGTAGAAACTGGGTTATTCTTTGGAGTCGTGAAGAAGGCCTACTTAGCTTTCCCTGATCTTACAATTAAAGAACTTGAAGCTAAGCATTAGCAACCTGCTTATGGATCTTTCTTGAATATCTCTTGTTTTCTTATGTTATTGTTGAACTTGTTAGCTTTCATTGGTTAATCTCTCTCTCTTCTGCTGGTGATATATGATTGTTGTGACTTTTGTGATAATGACCTCTATTGATTTTCACTAACACATTTTCCATCACTTATTACGTTCCTTACCTTACTTAGCTTCAAAATGCTTATGTTGCATTCCTATTGAAAATAGAGATTTTATGTTTTTGCGTCAAGAATGAATTGTTTACTTTTTGTCTCCCTTTTAGTCATTAAAGCCTTTGTCGCTTTCTCTCCTTAGTCCTCCATAAAAAAGTGGCAATGTCTAGCCGATTTCAGGTGGATAGAATGAACGTCAAGAGCCTGATACTCGCCATCAACTCCAGCAGCCTTCGTCCTTTTTTTTCTTTTTTTTTTTGTTATATGGTTCGTGTTATGTGGACGGATGTGTATTCTTTTCAGATTAATAGCGTACATCATATTTCTGCTGCTGCTGCTGCGGCGAAGTCTCACCAGCATGTGCTTTCGGTGTCACTGAAATAGAAAGGAAAGTAGCTTTGGTCAAGTAAACAGCCATGTTTATAATTTTACATGAACCTCACAGCCTGTAGCGGGTGTTCCTCTTCCCATTCGTAAGTTGTTTCTTTAAAATAGATTTTCCATTATATCTTTGAAGCTTTCTTTTTTTTTGTGTCCATTCACATCGCTCCTCGATCTATCGTTAACCCTTTGCGAACTGTTCTATTGTCTATTGTATTGTTATGCGAAAGAAATAACAGTCTTCTTAGGTATATTGTCTTTTCAATCTTTTTCAAACAAGTCCTTCTTTCCTGCAGCTTCAGCCTCAGTTTTGTGAACCTTTGAACGACATTTACGATCCTCATATATACTTTATCATACATTTACAGCTTAAAACAATGCTTTTACAGCTAATGTTAAGGCTGTGAGCATTCTCTTTCAAGATGATCACCTTCACTTGACAACTTTTGAATTTTCTCTTTCTCTCTCATCTACTCTCTCTATCTCCTTTCCTGGATCTATCAGTTGTCCTTTTATCTACTCAGATCATGCTTATCGATTTGAATTATGCTATTCAAATATTCAAAATAATACCGCGCAGCTATCAGATATGCTAATTAGCTCCAGCTATTTATTCATTTAAACATTTAGTTCAGCATGGATCGGTTGCATTCTCTTATATCCCCCCCCCCCCTCTCTCTCTCTCCTTCTATCCTCTAATAGCATCAGGTACGTCAATTATTTTCAGTTTTTGTTAACTCAATTATTCTTTCAGATTATGTTATTCGTTATTGAGGGAGTGAATAGAGAATCGAATGTGCAACCGGTGAATGACGGTATTGTTTACAAGAGGGCAATAATCTTGTCATCCTGCTTGTGCTTTTCTTGCCTGAAGGCAATTCCTCGCGTGATAGTTATGTGGTTCCGGTTCCTCTCTACCATCCAACGAAAGAATAAGAAGATTCAAAGACTTAGTACGAAACAAATTACGTAGATGATGATTTGCCTCTCTTCATTTTGCTTCTCTTTCTCAAACGGTGTGTGTGTGTGTGTGAGTGTGTATGTATGTGGGGGATGGTAGGAAGAGGTGGTGAGAGGTGGGGGGAGGGCAAGTTGTTTTTATCCATTTGCATTAATATCATTTTCTTCAGATAATAGCTGATAACAAAACCAAGTTGGTGAATTCAGTTAAGCATTGATGACTCTCTCAGTCATATGTTTTCCTTTGTATGTTGGAACTCTGTTCACTTGGTACAATTGAACTTTGAGTCAGATTCTCTCTCTCTTCCATCTCTTACTATCCCACGTACCTAATGATCTTTAAAGGCTTTTGCTTCAGTTACATTTACCTTATTAGCATGATGTGAATATGCGAATAATACAAACATAGTTTCGTCATTAAAACTAACGGTACACAATCACAAAGAGATGTTAACGATGTTCTGTTTGATTCTTCACAAAACGGATTAATTCTGAACCATCTTCGTACGGACATACGGGAACGTAGGTAGTCGATGTGTTCGCTCTCGCTCATCCTACCTTCCTTCCTTTCATTCTCGATAATCTTTTTGATTGTGATGTTCTTGTTTATCCATATTTGCATTTTAATAATTTCATTATTGTCAGTTGGAGTGATTTTACAATGCGACCCCCCCTCCCTCCATCCTCTCTTCCATCATCATCTTCGTCTTGTTATTCTTCATCCATCATTCGCACGCATCCATTAGGTTACAGTGGGCTTTCACAATCCGTTTGTGCCTTTCGCCTGTCCAGTTATCTCATGATGAGCTTATCGTTCTTCTTGACCGAGCTCTTTAAAGCTTTCTCTACGTTGCTCTTGTTTCTTTCGTTTATCCTCTCAATATTATCATATTTGCATGTTCTAATTCGTCACTGCCTCACATTCTTACAGTTGAATGTTTCAGAAGTAGGAGAACGACGACAGAGAAGAAGGTGTTGACGATAGAGCTGTCTCTAACCCATCATCACATAGGCATTCGTATAAGGTATTTACTATAAAAGGATATTCTTCTTGAATAAAAATATTTTTTTGGTGTTTGTTTCAGTTGTGGCAATGTCTGTGCGATCCTACTGTGGACCACCTAATCCATGCATCAATATTCTGGGCAGTTTACGAGATACAACTGTCGATGGAGGATTATATATGTATGAAACGAATAATATAATTAAAGGTTAGTTAATTGAAATATCTTCGTCTTTGCATGTTTCCTGAAATGTTATGACAGAAGTTGACAAAGGTTATGTTATAGTGATTGTCATTTATTCTCCTATTTGCTTGTCTATTTGCATACGTTGAGAAGATCTCTCACGAAGTTCACTGACCGCCGTTTCTTCTCATTTCCGACTAAATTATGTTTTTGAAATAGTTTCTTATAGTCATTTCTATATAATATTGATGTTTGATAACAAATCAGTTTACTTCTTACACACGTACACACGTACACACACACACACTCATCATATCGCTTGCCATTCAATTGATTTTCTAAATTTCATATTTTTGATACACGCTCATCATTTCCTCTCGTTCGTCCTCTTTGCCCAACTTGGATTATTTCCATCTGACCCGCAGCTCTCTGTTTGTAGACTTTGTGAATCTCGTTGTTTGTTGGCGAGATGAGAAGAGAAGTATCAACCTCAGTCCCAAATACTCTCTGAATCAATGAAATGACAATGGAAAAGCCCTACAGTTTCAATCGGCCATCTGATACTTCATTGCCATTGGCAATTCTTTTGCTTATTCACCTTCTCCCCCCCCCCTCTCTCACTCTCTCACTCTTCCGCCATCTTCATCATCCTGATCGTTGTCTCTTTCTTCTTCTTCTTCTCGTTTATTGAGCTTTAAAGAAATTCGTTCGATTGTTCCATTCACACCTTGTAACTGTTCCATATATTTGCTTAAGATGTTTAAACCTCTTCTCCTCTTGCTTACTGGAGTACATGATGGGCACAAAAAAAATGGAGAAGTCATTATCTTTCACTTGAACGACGATGACAACGACAACAGAGATATGTGCTGATGATGATGAGCAAACGAGATTGCAATGGCATTTTCTAAAATTCCTCTGTTTTTCTCTCTCTCTCTCTCTCTATCTCTCTCTCTATCTCTATACATCTGTATGGAGATACAGCTGGTACATACGTATTGAAACAGAACCGACCATTACTCTCTCCCCTTCCTTATCACTCTTCTTTATCATGAGCTTATCGTATGCTCAATCAGTTCATCCACGTCCACTTCTCGCTCCAATATGATTTTATGACTTTTTGTACATTATATTTTAGCTCATATTTCTGTTCTCTTCCATTCATCTTTCCTCTCCTTCGGCACTGTTTGATTTTCGATTTTGAGAAGAAAAAAGTGAGAGAGTGAGTGAGTGAAAAAGGAAAATCCTCTTTGTAACCTTTTACATCCTCATCTCTATGTCTCTTCCCTCTCTCTCTCTCTTTCTCACTCTCTCTCCCTCCTTGTGGCATTTAGCAGGCAACTATACACCTTTCGAAATTAATCTTATCAAACTTGTCAAGTGATTTCTATGTTAATTCAATTTCCTCAATATTCAACAACCTAATCAAGAATGATATTCAGTTCCCTCATTAACGGAATTATCTTTTGCCATCCTCCTGCTCATTCATTCATTTCATTTTTCCTTTTCAGGGCATCGAGCCTCTTTTTTTGGAAATCTCTTTGGTACAGGCAGCTTGCGAAGGACTAGCTACTATTCAAGCTCTGTCCCCGATCCCTTAACTGACAGGTTCCTTCTACCAGTGTTTCATCATTAACTATTTCTTTCTCTCTTTTAAGATCAATGCTGATCTCCACTATACTAAATAAAGAAGAAAAACGAGCAGTTCTAGAATATGTAGGAAACGAAAGTTCTGTAAGTATCTATCTGCCATAGTGTATATCATTTTGATTGTTCGATGTGTTGCATGCGGTTGCATTCCTCATCCTCTCTCTCTCTCTCATTCATCTTTCCGACAATCATCATTTCAGTTATTAGCAGTGGGTGTATGTGAACTTCTGGAAGAATCAAATGGTTCATGGCAGAATCCTCGAAGAGGAGTTGTGTGTTTAATCAAAGAAAATCCAAATAAGGTATTTCCTTTTACATATTCCATATTGATTTTTGATTCATATAAAGATATATTCAATAAGCTTATTAAAACCTTCAACTACAAAAATCATTTGGTGTCAACGAATGTAAGTTTCTAATCTTCGTCCTTTTCAATTTATTCCATTACATCTGTATCTTATTATATTATTTTTGTTTTTTTTTCAAGAAGTCGTTCATTTCAAACCACCAAAGATCACGACCATTTGGTAACATTTGAAATTGGCTCGAAAGACACGAACGACACATGCATTTACGGTTTGAACTTCTATGATGCTGAAGAAGCACTTCGATTTCATTCATCTGTCATGGAACAGTATGAAAGTAATTTTCATTTTACTTAATATACCTTTAACAATATACTTGTTTAGGCCATTGCGCAAGAAATCCACATAGAGTGGCTCCCCAACGGCCAGCTGAACATTCTTCAAAACCTGTTTGTTTTTCCTTTTTTTTATGTTTTACCATATTTGTATGATTGCAGATTGTGCTAACAGATGATTCGTTGAGTGCAGTTAGTAAGTTGTTGTTTGTTTGTTGTTTCATGTCTTCATTCCTTTCTAGCAGTTGATTCTACTGAAGAGCTCGCTCTACCTCTGAAGACAAAGAAAAATAGTTGTAAGGTTTTCACTTTCTCTTATCAAACCCATTAATTAAAAACACAAACTGATAACTCATCTCGAGATTCTAATTGAAATCGTTCAGTATTTGGTGGTTTCTTTAGCCGTAAGAACAAGAAGAAGAAGAAAGAGAAGAAAATAGAATCGAAACATAGGCTGACACCTGATGATATTTCCAATCCAACAGACTTTGAGTAATTCTGACAGAATTGTTTTCTAGCACGATAACCTTCATGTTACAGGCATCTATGTGGAGCTGACTACACTACGGAAGAGAGAGAAGCTGTCCAGATACTGAAAGAGCAGATTAAGGTACTCCTTCTTTCTCACATGTTGTTATACTACTATAATTTTCAATTGCAGTTTGATGAGAATGATCCGGGTCAAAGAGAGCTCCTTCGAAAGTTTGCTACAGAACACCATGCTGCTATACGAGCGTCCATTCGTGCTAAGGTAATTTGAATTTATTCTAATTTTTCACGTCAATCTAAATTCACGTCTTTAGCCAAACGAAAGTTTCCAACGCGGAACATCTGGTTTAGAAGGTGCGCGGAGCAGCATGTAAGCTAATGTTGATTTTTTCATCAAATGTTTATCATTTTGTTCAGAATGATACATAAGACGACAAAAGGATACACTCCCAGGGAGATCAAGAGAACTTCTGGCAACAAGGTTTGTCATTTCGTTATCGAATTATAAATATGATTACTGTTTCAGAAGAACGAAAGCATTCAGGAAGAAAGAGAACCGACTTCTTCTGCTGATGAAGATAAGGTCAGACTGGTTATTATGATTTCTCAACCATCTCTCTTGCTTCAGAACTCTAATGAGGAACCTGATAAACCTTTCGATCCTGTTCATCCTGACTGGGAAAAGGACTCAGTTGTTCCATCCTTCTCTCCGCGTCCTCCAAGCCATTCTACTCACTCAACTGGTTACAATACTCACAGATACTCAAATAATAATAATGAATATGATTATAAGGAAAAAAGTTTAACATTTACTGAGTGAGTCGATCTTCAATTTTCCGCTATTTCTTATTTGAATTTCCAGCTCCAAACCTTTGCCAAGCCCATCTCCAGCTCCTCCAGCACCTACGAGAACAGCATCTCGAAATCAGTTTGTCAGACAGAATACACCTCCACATCCCAGAACAATAGGTTAGTTCTTTCATATCTCAACGTTTTTTAATTATTCGGGGCTATTGTAGCAGATCGGGATCCATCTCGACCTCGTTTGCCTGGCAATGATGAACCTATTCCATCTCGATTAACATATCATTTCACAAGACGTTTGTCGAGCTCACCGCCATCATCGCCTCCTCCTGTTCCCATATCTTCTCCTATACGACCTCCACCGCCCATATCTAGCAAAGCTAGCGGCTCGGTTTCTCCTCCTCCAATACCTCCACCACCAGTAGTGCACACTGTAGCTTATGATACCATTTCACCACCTCGTGAATCTTCTCCTTGTCCGCCCCCTATTCTACCACCTACATTAGAAGCCAAAAATGCTGGAGCGTCTTCAGTACCCAAGGCACCACCACCACCGCCACCCTGTGAAGCTTCTCCACCATCTCCACCTCCTCTACCACCTACACTACTCGTGCAGGCTGCTGCAACTTCACCTGTTCGCAACGCACCACCACCACCACCTCCCTTGGGTGGGCTGAATCTAGCGCCCAAAATTAGCTCAACTACCACTAGTCCATCTCTCAGTCCGGGTCCTCCAGTCAGTCCAGATCGAAGAAGTTTCTTAGACGTACGTTTTTATAGCTATGTATATGTTTGCATTTCATCTTTCTCTTTAAGGAAATCCAGAACGTTGATAAATCCAAACTCTTACGATCACCGAATGCTCCTTCATTGCCTCAAAAGGTTTTTCAATATAATTCAGTCAGTCTAATGTTTACTTTTTCAGCAGAATAATGAAGTTGATGGCAGTATAATGTCTTCGATTCAACGAATGATGGATTCAATTCGTCCTCAACTTGGGGATAGTGATTCTGATTCTGACGGTATGAATAGCCTTATTCAATCTTAGTTTATGTATCTTCATATAGATAGCACATCAACTGACTCTGATTGGTCTGAGTGATAAGCTGAGATCAGAAGAAAGCAAATATACTTGTGTGGATATGAAACTCCGTGAAAAAGCGAATCTTGCTCAATGTATTCAAAGTTTAAATGAAATGTATATACAGGTTATTGTTTGATACAATTATTAATAAAGTATATATGAACTATGGTCATCATATCAAAGCAGCAGTTGATTTCAATTGAATATCTGATACAAGTTGGTGAACTCAACACGTTCACAGAAGCGCTGAGTGATGAATATTAAGATGATTTCATGCACAGTATTCTATGCTGTTAGCTTTACACAGTTAGCTGGATCTCCAGATGGCCTTAATCGCCTACGAATCTCATCTAATGACATATTTAATGTGACCAGCTTGTTATCATCCTGTCTCTGATATAGCATTTCTCCTTCGAAATCCAATAATCCATATTTACGAGCTCTGATGAGCATGCCCACAAGCTGGAATGCAGTCAGACATGATATTCATATTCAGTAGAATGCCTAGCACATTGAAAACACAAACCTTGTCAGAGTAGAATGAGTATACATAGAATAGTTTTCCAAACTTTATAAACTTATTGGGGTCTTCTCCTTCGGCATTCTCATTGATGATTTCGCACAAGAACAGTATCTCTCGACAGATGTGTACACCAGCCTAGTCGTTCACATGGATAAGTTCAAAATTGTTCTTTTTTGTAAACCTTAACACCTCTAGCTTCAGTTTTGCTTCCTGTAGGTGGTCGACCATAGTCTATGGCTTCTTTATCAAACTTCTGAATGCCATACGTTTCCGAGAATGGATTTCTGAATACGTATCGTTAGAGCCTCGTTACTTAAATAATATATTGATTAGACTTTTTTAAATTTTCATCATTGGCAGCTGCGACAGCATTGAAGCGTTTGATAGTATCGCGTGCGGACATGCTTGCTTCTCACAACTCAGTTATACCTTAAACAATGTAAAGATCAGGCAAGACAGTATTTATTTTTCAATTAAGAAGCATTAAAGTATCATCATCTACCGAAAACAGAAGCCTTCAGCTTGAGCTCAGTGATTTAGACTAAAAAAAATTTAATTTTTCATTTCATGAGCTGCTCTTCTCAGCACTAGGCGCGTGTTCATTGCATCCTCCTCAGACAGACAATGTGTAACATGACAACTGCAGGCTTTCCTTGAACTGCACAGAAAAAAGAAATAATATGTTTTTAGCTATTCCATTTTCTTTCTTCTCCGTCTTTCACCTTTGTCACTGCTGCAACGCACACATCCTCATTATCGTAACGTACAACATCAAGACATATTGATTCACTGTGATATCACTGAATGGAACATCTAAGAGTGATTAACAACGTGATTATAGCTTTCACATAGTTGGGGACATTCAGAAACTCTTAGCCTTGATAGTCTTTTCAGATTTTTAGTGTTCCATGAATAAACTCCATTGAGACGCGCAGTTTGTTCACAGATGCAACCGTCTTCGACAGATTAGGATTGAACGCCAACCAAGGTGGATCGCTTGAGGCGGAATGCAACCTTTGGTTGCTTGGGATGACATCTGAGCTTGTACAGAGCCCATCAATAACTTCTTAGTAGATGAGCTTTCCTTATTTTACTAGAAGACATTCCGTGAGAGAGAGAGAGAATTGAAGTGCACCGACTCACACCTCTTCCTTACTTTTTTGTTTCCGTTCAATCTATGAAGATCCGAGAGAGAGAGCCATCTGATGATGTGGACATTCGGTGTATCTCTTCATAACATATCTAGAAGAGGCGGGCAATCTTAATACTAATCTTCCAATTTGACTCTTGATGTGAAAGGAGACCATTCTGTGTTCGTGTTTATCAGT